CTTCTTAAAGAAAGATGGCAAGTCGTGCGACGGCAAAGGTCAATGGAAAGAACCAAGATGGAAGCCTGATCACACTCACATTAGGGAGAGGAAGTGAAGTGACTGATATCTACTATTTCGAAGCATACCTAAAGCAATAGAGCCATTCCGTGAAGGAAAACTGGACCAGCTATTAGCGCGCGTAGGGAATCTATCTAAATCCATTATCTACGGGTCCTTATTAGGAGCAAGGTATTCATTTGTGGAAGACAGATGTTTTACTAAAGGCCTGATTTGACAACATTAGAAAAAAAAGGTATAAGTCAGTTGTCGTACTCCTTCCCTAGCTAACGAATGGGGGAACGGCTTTTAGTCATTTTCTCCTCAAGATGCTTGATGGCCGAGAGTGCAGCGTGGGTGCGAAGTGTGGCGGTAAAGGTCTTCACAAAAAGAAGAAATCTGTGGTTCTTATCTCTAACCAGTGTTTACTGTCCAGAATATAAAGGTCTCTTATCCCCGCTTTGAGTGGCGAAAATGGACTAAATCGACACTGCAAACCTCACCTCAGGAGATAGGTGAAATGCGATCGAAACACCACCTTTTTCATGGAAATAGCTCCATTTGTCTTCTGTTGAACAACACTAAATCCAGACAAGAAAGGGCTGCCATTAACAGGGAAGCACCCAATTGTGATTCCTAATGTCAGCTTCAGTCCATAGGCCAATGAAGCAGCTTTCAAATGCCCCAAGGCTTCGGTATGATACGTTTGAGAGAACAGAACCACTCACTTTTCTGACTCCGGAGTCTATGCCGGTGCAGATATCATTTTCTTAGATTCAAAGAAAGAGTTGGGCCGCTTTGTTGTCTCTATACGAATTAGCGGGTAGCACCTCTCTTCTCAACGAGTCAAGTTTTGGCAACTGCACCAAAGGATACTTCTGGGGTTGGAAACATTCCCATACCGCCATATCTACTTCCTATTAAATTACAAGTAGGGCAGGAAAGTGCAAGTTGTAGAGAGATTTCCCTTTTGATAAATCACTTCTTCTCCCAGTTTTATACCTCTCAAGCCGCTGAATTAAGCTTCAGCCAAGTTCTTTTATTAGATTCTCATATAATAATGACTTTGAAGTTGAGTGTTCTAATAGCAATCCTCGGAGGGAGGGACGGCAGAACTCAAAAGTGTCCCTTCTTCTTCTCATTTTGACCTGGGGGCGTCTTGGTCAGCCTTACTGTACTGTGTAGCATTAGCTTATGATGGATTTTGTGCCAAGGGCCAACTACGAGCAAAGCAGTATTCGCCGGAACTGGAACAAACCCCCAATCCCTCTTCTCGCCCAGCCTAAGCTTTCATAATCAAATCTTCACATCACGCTGATAACGACGACAATGATGATGAGATAGTGGCTCCATGGAGAGTGTTTCGCGAGTGAATTAGCGTTCAAGGAGATTTTGACAGGTCAGGGAGCATACGCTTCCTTCTATACTGGCTGTTAGCAACGAGAAAGTAATATTTCCTTAGATAGTAATAGTGAAGCTTCACTTTCCTGTTCTACTAATTTGAGTTTAGGAGTGGATCCTTTCTTCACTTGGACTTTTTGCGCTCTTGCTTCGAATTTCACCTTCGTCGTCTCGCAAATGTGGAATCTTTCTTTCTTATTTGATATGGTCTTGCCTTCAAGGGATTTGGTTTCTCGTGAAGTGGGCCAGGCAAGCGATGCTTTGGACACGAGAACAGGGCCAGTTAATCCTAGATTCCTTTCTTCCTTCTGGTTGCGAGAGAGCGAGCCTAGCGGCAACATGGGATTACAAGCAAGCCAACTCCTGTTCACAATGAGGAATCAGAAAAGAGTGGCTCTTCCTTTATTGGCGTACCTGAATGACCTTTCAGAGAGCAAGCAATTGAAGAGCTAGGCCAAATGAAGCCGTTGACCCGCCTTCCCCTAACTGACACCATACCATGTTCTTAGTTCTTACAACCTCTCCAACCTTAGAATTGAACTAACTGATAAGCGGTCTCGCCAATTCACGTCAGGTGTCTTATTGATTTCTTGTCAAATTCCTACTGAACTGAGAGCTATTCTTCTTACCTTGATGCTTCATTCCTATTTCTAGGAGCTGCTGTAAGGTTGGCAGGAGGTTGATTTTCACCTTACGCACTATTTAGGTTTAGGTTCTTGAAATTAGCGAGGAGAACAACTAGGAAGACAGCCAGACCCCCGAGCAATAGAAAGCGAACCTATTGAAGCTATCAAGTCTTTTTTCAAGAAGACAGAACAGCAGACACATCTTTCAAGTCACGTCATCTTACCCCTTAGCATCTTCCTCTCTATCTATCACACTCAACCGGATCTTGAGGTCGTAGATCAGAAAGCAAATGAGTTTCTCTGATGTCCTATTCTAAATCCAGATCTCAATCAGGTTAGCCTGTGACTCTTGATCCACCTGACCAGTGCCCCTCTCTCCCACAAGCTCCCTTTCTCGATCGAAGATAGAAGGCTCACTACGGATAGGCAAACAAAAAGGAATGATGGAAGAAAAGCGAAAAGCCCCTTCAATGCCTCTCTCCTTAGCAGGTGAGGAAGATAGTCCGAGACTCCAGAGCAAAATATAGGAATTGGCATTGAGAAAGATCAAAAAGCATATGAGCTAGTAGTTGAAGAAGTTGATAGAGTTTCAATTAACCTGGCTGCAGGTGACACAATGAGTTCGGAACGCAGAAGATTCAATAGAGACATTGCCCATAACTCAATGCAATAGAAGAGATAGAGACTCAGGCACCTAATAGAAGGAGATGCACAATTGATCGAGTTTCAACCGAAGCTGTGGATCTAGTTGAAGAAGCAGTTACCTAGTGAGTTTGATATGAAATATCTTAGCTTAGTGCAGCGAAGCAGATTCTTGGAATGAGGATTAGAAGGGACAAGCAGAGAGTTATGGGTATGTGTTAGGGAAGAGCTTCTTCCTTGCTAAACTGGAACAACAACAGAATATCTTTTACTTGGTCACTGACCTAGGGGAGAATGATTCGGTAACCTGTTCATACGCCGGAATTTGATTCAAACTGCAGAGGAAGAAGACGGAATGAACCAACCAGATGGATAAGGGGCTCACGAAAGAGAGTTCGCTGGTACCGCTAGCTGTATTTGGAATGAAAGTATGACCGCACACTTCCTCAGACAACGGATCAGCAAGGGAAGCGACGTGGATGGTATTTTATATCGTATACATTGCCACATATAATTTGTATTTTTTTTCATCTCCAGCAGTCTGTTAAGATACACTGTCACGTCACTAATTTGTAAAAGGGTTGTGTATTTTACACAGCCACATAAGCATATTTTCTCTCTCCTCCCCTTTTTATTTTCTCTCTCCTCCCCTTTTTCCACTCGCTGTTCTCTTTCTTCTCTCTCATTCCTTTACGCCTCTTTGTTTCCCACTCTAGCCAAAGATTAGATATATACTTTAATCACGTTTTTATATAATTGTTGATATAAAACATTTGATTATGTAGTTTTTATATACTTGAATCTTATTTCACTATTTGTTATTAAGTTAGAATTCTGATGGCGGCAGGAAAGATTTGCTATTGGCTGGATGGGAAAATGAAATATAGGGGGAAATTATTATTTTTTTCCTAATTGAGGAGGATTGGGACATGAGATTTAATCGCGAAAAAATAAAATGAATCAAGTAGGTTTGTAAAAGTTCTGTAGGGCCTCCGCTAGAGCTAAAAATAGGTAGTACAAAATTTTTGTGTAAATCTACGCTAACACGTCATATTTACACAAAAATATATATACGCAACGGTGGAGATGCTCACACAAACAAATAAAAAAAAATGACATCCAAAAATAAGAAAAAATACTAAAGAAAATAAATGAGGTAAAAAGAGTTAAAATTTAATAATATAAAGAGTAATTATGGTATTTTAAAATAAAAATGGTGCATTAATGAGTTTAGCAGAAGAAGGCAAGTGGAGTGTTGACGTACAAAAGTGGAGTGGTACTCACAAATTTTATTCTATGAAAAAAAAAACGAATCTCAAATAAACTTTAAAAAATCTGTAATCCGCCATAATTCTAAATAAATCCATTCATGCTATGTTGATTGTTAAGAAAAAGTAACAAAATTGGACTTAAAAATCACTTGAATCGAAGCATTCAAATCCACAAAAACTTGAAGAGAGAGAGACCTGTGACGCCTCTGAGGGGCCCGCTGAGGGCGGAATCAACAGCTAGTTTACAAATATTCGTCAGAATCAGGGTAATCTTATCCAGATGATGAGGATCGGCACGCTGTTTCAGCTCGTCACATAATTTTTGGAAGGCGGCGACAAGATCCCGGCCCGCATTTGAAGAGGGTTGTGGATCAGGAACAGCTGCGGTTGCCCGGAAATAGTTCCAAATGCCCATTAGCATTCGGACTAAATGATTCTTTTTTGCAGACTGGTCCTATCCGTATCAATTTTTTTTTTTTTTTTTATTTTTTTTTTTTTTTACCTCAGTTCCCAGCTCATAACTTCCACAATATTCCTTAAATCTTTCACTTTTTGAGAAGTTGAATAGGTCAGACCAATAAATGAATAAAAAGAAAAGAAAAGAATAGTAGTTACAAAATAAAAAAATAAAAAAGAAAGAAAGAAAGGAAAAGCAGTATTAACATTTGACTTTATTTGAATTACAGTATTAAGGAGGAAAGAGAAAGAGAAGGACATTCATTATGTTTGGAATACATAGTGGAGAAAAAGAATGATTATTTATTTTTATGAGTTGTAAAGGAAGAAAAAAAAAAAAAAAGAAAGGAAGGAAGGAATTCACCTTTTTTAATTAAAAAAATAAAAAAGAAAGTAAGAAAGAAGGGGCCTAAGTGCCTACACGTGAGGAAAAGGAGAAGATTCATTTAAGTGAGTTAATGACCAAAACAGTAAAAGAAAGGTATCCTATGCTAAAACATGCATCATCTTTTTATATGCTTACAATTTTCCCTGTTCCTCTTTTCTCACTTGTTAGGCTTTGAAATAAGTGGTAAATTGAGAAGAATAATATAAAAGGCTATAAGATTTTCACACAACTGAACGTATTCAAGCACAACATGAGAGAAAGGGTATCCTCACACCATATGATTAAAACACAGATAAACTTGCAACAATCTTCTCAAAAGCAAACTCACACTCTAAACTCCAATTTATGTTAGATATATATGTGTGTGTAATTTCTTTACCACAAAGGTCACTGGATTAATTCCAGTTTCATAGCCTGGAACGAATCATGATCTTTTTCGCATCAGTTTTTAAAGGAACTGAGCCCTTGACGGGAGGAGTTGAGAACTCTTTCAAAGGCTCCGATCCCTGGGCGCACTGGATTGATATATCATTTTGTTGCTTTGTGCTATTCATGTCTTCCTGCATTTTCTCCATCTTGGCTTGCATCTCCTCCACCACTATTGTAAGATCTGGTTTCTTATTCTCATTTGCATTGTCTGAAGATAGTTGATCATTTAAGCCTTCCTTCACAATTTTATTTACTTGAATCCCTCCTGCAAATACTCAAACATGAGAGGGGAAATACAAAATTTCAAAATAATCTACAGAATGGGAAATTCTACCTAAACACTAGACTGAATTCTACACTACATCTTTTGCACTCACACCACACGGACTCTTTGAAATTTGTGAAGGAGTGTATGATAATGCATGGGTATGACATAGGAATGATCAACATATCTGGTCAAACATGCAACCAGCAAGTGTCTGCTAAATTACTAATTCAAATTTACCATATATTTCCATAAAAATTTCTTCTTGTGTCTGTGTCACTTGATTGCTTTAAAGCCAGTGAAGTGTCCATACTGGACATGGTGTTAAGCTAATCATTTCACTTATGAAATACAATAAGAATATTAAATAATTTGAAAAGTTAATGGCATCCACTTGTCCTTGACTTTGGGTATCAGATAAAGCCAATGCTCAGACACATCCCATATCAAACAATCATGCCCGAACTTGACGCACATAAAACACATTCCTGGGAGGCTGGGAGTATCATTACCCCACCAACCAAATCATAAATAGTCAACTTCTATCCATAAGCTGTATATGAAACAAATAAAGCCACCATAAAGGAACTTCTAAAGATTTAAAATCAACTTCCTCAGAAGAAGACAGAGGAGGTTAAATTGAGGATTATAGGCCGTACTCATTGCACGGGAGACAGACATTTGACAGTTTCTTTAAAGTTCAACTAGTCTTCCCAGAATGAGAAAGAAGTTTAGGGTGTGAACATGAAGTATGTCCCAATGAGGAGAGGCAACACTACCACCTTCACTGCTCCCATTTCACATACACAAAAATGAGACTCAGATTGCAGCTTCCTAGAGGAAAAGAAACGAGAGACTACTTATATAAAAAGCAAATTCCGAGGACTGCAAGGAAGGTGGCAAATCCAATAGACGATATCAAACCTATTACAACTCATTCACACCATAGCACCAGCAAACCCTCTCTCAAGAGGGAAACATGATTTTCCAATTAGTACATTCCTGAGATTGGTATAGAACTTTTTTGGAAATCTTCGAAAGTTTCCTAGAAATTGCCTCCAAAGAATGCCGTAAACATTTTTGGAGGAGGAACACATTTATACCTAAATGTTTCCTATAAATTATGAAAAAAGGACAAACGATCTTCCCCAGCACTAATTTCATCAATGTTTTCCTAGTACTTCCTATCCCCGCCCCCGCCCTCTCACTGTGCAAATATCATGAATGAAAAAGAAAATAACAGTAGGTATTTTTCAGATTCTAAATTTTTTCTTTTACTTTCCTCCATTTCTAAGCAAAATAAACAACACATGAGATTTCAATTAATCTGACCTGAATCAACCTTTGAATATTCATGGCATTTTTGTTTTTATGATATTTTATCTTTCATTGTTGCATATAATAAAACTTAGGCTATGGAAAGTGCGTGACTCAACATTGCACTAGAAGTAGTATAAATTGGATGAAAATCTTTCGTGTACATGCATTTAGCCTAATTTTATCACTCATCTAACCATGGTCCACAAAAGCAGACAGCTAAAACATGCATCATAACCACGTCTGACCTTTCATTGGTATGTTTGAAATTCCAAAATACATAATTAACCATGTTTGAGGACAATATTTCATGTCCATTGGTAACTACCTGCGCGATGCATATATAATTTTTGCATACTTATGGCAACAATTTAGTGCGTATTATTATGATCTTTATACAACTCAGTTCATTAAGTCTTATAAAGGACGTAGGATGGGCAGTTGGTCAGATCTAGTATGAATTGTACATGGACGGTAGCATATATAACAGGGTTAATGAATATTGGATGTCTTTGCTAATGAAATATCCTAGGAGAGGGTTTTAAGCTCATTACTAAACAATTATTATTCAAGCATCTTCTTCTACAGAGAAAACAAGAAGAAGTGATAAGACTGCATGCAATTCTAAAAGATAGAGAGAGGGAGAAGAAGAAGAAGAGAATAGACACGGTGGAGCATAACATGGAAACTTTTTTGAGTTCAACAAAAAAGAAGAAATTATAACTCGAAGTGGTATTTATCAACATGTAACATTATGTTGATGATGACGACTACGAGAGCGATCACTTGGAAAGAAAAAATTCAGGGAGATGTCAAACAAAGAAAACTAGAAATGGGAAAAGATAAATTGAACTTCCTCCAACCACTGCCCATTCCAAATCCAAATAAAAGTACATAAAACCTCACTTAACAAACTTCCTCATCTTTTCTTCACTCACGTGCCATTTGAATCATTTGATTGTCCACTATTTGCACTCTTTTCATACCACAAAACTTGACAAGGATATCCCCATTGCATGATCAAAATTATTAGCATTATGTCAAATGGACTCTTCTAAACAAGTGAGATACCAGTGTCTAATGCGCATCATACACAAGTTGGACAGACATTTTGGCAGGTCACTGATCAGAACCCCAAGCATTTCTCTAACTTTACATAATAGATGTGATGCTACATTAGTATTGCACCGTTTCATTCTTTAAATTTTATAAGCATACTAAACAATTTTATCAATATTACACCCGCTATGCTACCATTGAGCATATATAATTCAACTCATTGAACTTATCCTTGTGTTTAATATAAGCCATCAAATAGATGTAGGATGCCACTAAATAAAAAACAAACTACGGTTCCAGAGGATGAAGAGATTTTGAGAGATGTGTTCCCAAGTCCTTGGAAGATCCAAATGCATGACATTTACAGCGTGATAGAGTGCTCAAGAAACTCGCTAGAATCTGATAGAAAAAGGCCTCAAACCATATTCTAGGGGAACAAAAACAAATTAAAATTAGAAACTTCCCTTCGATTGAGTTGAACTGGCATGTCAAAATAATGCTTTGGAGTTTGGACAAAACCTAAACAGGGACTGGTTCGATTATACAATAACAAAATATCTTGACATGAAGTACGTCCCACAACATAAACGGGTCACCAGAAAGAAAAGTTCCATGATAGCTGTGCATATTAAGTGCAAGGTTTCCTACTACAAAAGAATAATTATTGCTTAAAGCTCATACATCATCATAATACAATGAATCAAAGTCAACAGTACTTTGATTAGGATGACAACCATTTTAAGACTCCGTTCAATTATACCACAATCCATGTAACTCTCCATATCAAAATTCATTAACTAACTTGATATAATAAGAAAAAGAAGTTTAAACGTGATGAATCAACATTTCTTTGTAAGTTTTACACGCCATTACTTATGATGTTAGTCATACATCCAGAACAAATTGTTTTCTTCCAACTCGGAATGGGTAAACAAGTACAATTCTAAATAACTACTTCATGCTCCGTTTGATGGCCGAGAAAACTACCAAAATTAACCCTAAAAATCCTTGAATCGAAGCATTCAAAAGCACAAAAACTTAAAGATAGAGAGAGACACGAACCAGTGACGCCTTTGAGAGACTCGCTGACGGCGGAATCAACGGCGAGTTTACTGATATTCGTCAGAATCCGTCCGATCTTATCCAGACGATGAGGACCGGCGGCGTGCTCTTTCAGCTTCTGAGCTCCATTATATCTAGCAGCGTCACTGATTTGGGGGACAGAGGTGGCGATATCGGAATCATTTGGAATCGGAAACGCATTTGAACCGGGTTGTATAACGGAAACATTCCGGTTAAGTAGCTTACCGGCGGTTAACCGAAGATCGTCCCAAATGCCCATTAGTGTGTTTGGAGCTGTTCAGGGTGCGTTTAGATTTACACTCGGATCGGATAAGTTGGAGGATAAAGAAATGGTAGGTAGTTATGAAATTAAAAATACTCCTAATAAAATAAATAAATAAATGAAATAAATTATAGTTTGAACATTAGATATCATCACCGGCACTACATTATTTATTTTTTTTTTTTTAAGTACCTCGTGAATTATTATTAAAAAATAAATTACCTCAAGAATCACTCTTATATTATTATTATTTTGATAAGTATACCTCGTGAATTATTAAAAAGAGAAAAGAAATTAAAAGATCACTGCATCGCACTATACTCTTACCATCAAAAAAAAAAAAAAAAAAAAAAAGTAGTATATTGCAAATAAATTAAATAAAGAGGTTCATTCATTCGTTACGATAGTAAAATATTTGATGCCGGTTCACTAACTTCACTCAAAGGATACTAGAGTTGAATTTTTTTTTTTTTTTTTTTTCCCTTCTAATTGATACTCACACGCACTTGTCTCTTCTGAGACTTGAACCCTTATCCTCCCTTTGAGAAGTAAGAGGCTGATACCATTAGGCCACTAGCCCGTTGGTTACTAGAGTTATTTTGATTTGCATGATTATCTTACTTGATGTGTGAAAGACCATATTTGCATGTTTGTTGTTGGAAATTTGAAATTTACTTAGAGATGGTTGAAAAATAGCATACTTGAGGTAGTTTCCTTTCAATATTTGTTTGAAATTTTGGTGTCTCTTAAGTGAGAATGAGCTTGATATTAATGGGTATTATATCTGAAAACCCTCACGAGACTTCACTCGTCCACTAGGGGTTTAAAAGGCTTATTGCATATGCTAAATGCAACCGTGATTTCTATAAAAACGGTGTTATCCATTTATTATTTTATAGTTCATAGTTGTATAGTTGTTTATTTCCTTCCTTATAGCGTAGTTCATTGCTAAGGACTAACAATATCTAAGTTTGGAGGTGTGATAAGCACTTAAATGTTACACATTTTAGCACCTAAGTTAGGGTATTTTAGTCCCTTAATCTATCTTTATTTTCCCGTTTTAGTTTTAATTAGTGTTTTTGTCTATTTCATGTCAATAAGGTTCAAATGAGCTAAAAACAGTCCATTATGGCATTTTAGAGTCAAGCTAGAACATTTGGAGAAGAACCGAAAAAAGTATAAAAAAAAACTGCCAAAAGGGACCTACGATAGATCGCAGGTCAGTTGCGATCGATTGTAGCCACATCATCAATTGTAGTCCACGTCAACCCTGAGTCAACATTGGATAAGGTGCCGCGTTATCGTTCGCAGATCCTGTGATTGAACACAGCCACGTCAACAGATAGGGTTGCCACGTCAGCTGCGATCGATCACAGATTTTTGCAATCGATCGCAGACTGCCTGGCAGGGAGCTGTTTTACTCCCGTGTAATTTCGAACTTCACCTACCTAATGGCTGTGGGATTGAATAATTTTGGGGCTTATTTCTGACCTATTTTGGGCTCGAATGGTCTTGTGTAAAAGGGAAAACGAAGCATATTGTAAAGGGTTAGCCATTTTTTTTATTAGATAGATATATTGTTACATAGTTTTCTCTCTAGATTAGGGTTAGAAGTGGAGGCAAGAATATCTCATCTCTAGGGTTTCAAGCTTCAAGACAAGGAGGAAGAAAATGAATCAAGCCATGAGGATGGATCTTAGAGCTACCATGACTGCATCTACACCTTCTATGAGTGGCCAGGCTTCACATTAGGGTTTGGATGAGCCCTAAGTTTATAATATAAACCCTTATTCTTTATCTTTTTGGGGGAATTTATTGTTGTAATGGATGCTTAGCCTTGTGAATATATAAATCTTGGTTTATCTCGTGATTTATATGGTTAAATTCTTCCCATCTAATTCTCTATGTGATTACATGTCTATGTGTCTATGTGTGATTAATTGAAAATTAGGCTCTACATGGCTATGCATGGTATTCGTTAGATGCAATTAGTGATTAATTTAATGGGTTATATTTATGCTTGATGGATTATACTACGCCTTTTCAACTTTTAAGTCCCATAATAGGGATTTTTTTTTTTTTTTTTTTTCTTCCGGGCAAGAAAATTGAGGGTTAGTAGTATATTTGTTAAAGGAGAGGAGGAAAGTGCAAGGCTCGAAGATGGATTATCAAAAACAGGGAGCAATCCAACCACTCAGCAATAGGGTCGGCCTTGGACCTAAGCAACTCACGCAGTTGCTTAGAGTTGCAGAAAATATTGCGCCTTTCATGTTAGCCCTACACTCGGGCAACACAGCATATGCCCCCATAATAAGCATTAGTGGATATGTCTTAGCATTTTTTTAAATAATTAATAATAATTTAAATTGTGAATTATTAAGAAGGGTAAAGAAATAAAAAGATGGTAATTACAGTAGTGAGAAAATAAAGTAATAAATGATATTTTGTTTTGTGAGTATTTTATAAATATGAGCAAAATACACTAGTTCTTATCATTCCTTCATCATTTTTTTCTTCTCTCCAATTCTCTCAATCCAAACGAGGCCTAAGTAATTAAAAATGAAGAGCTCATTGATTTTTTTTTTTTGGATAAGTTACGAAGAGCTCATTGGTTTAAAAATGACAAATAATAATAATAATTGATGGCAAGGAGATTGATTTTGCTATCCTTGCAAGTGGGGAGATAAGGGATAAATGGGTTAAGAGAAGTAGTAAAAAAATATCATTGCATATTTGTTTGGCTTTACTAAGGTTTATCCTTCTTTTTTCTCTATATTTATTTATTTATTATTATTATTATTATTATCGGGTGTGTTTTATTTTCATCTCCATTCATGTCAACCAATGTTTAATCAACTTTATCATAGTTTGAAGTCAAAAGTACACCCATAATTGTTGAAACCCATGCACAACCCATCTTACGATATCAAGATTTGTTTGGATTATATGGATTACATCTGAAATATAATGTCCATAAAATTCAACTGGATTCATATTTGGATATGAATCCTAACATTAGCATGTCAATCTGGAGTTGAATTTATATGGAGGACTATATCTGGAATCGGTGCTATATACACACACACATATATATATGAATTTCCTGAACCACTCTGCACTAAACCATCATAGATTCCAGGAGTGACGACATAACCACAAAACACTTAGAAGGCGTCAACCATCAAATATACATCATCAACATCATAACTGAAAATGTAAGTAAAAACAAAGATGATTTAAACAAAATTCATTAAGGTACACCTTGCAACTCTGCCCCTCATCTTTAGATAGCACCAAGATGATTTAAACAAAGCGGGCTAGAGAAAAAACTTATCCAACCAAGCACATATACACAGAGTGTTACACATAGTATTCATTAGCTAAATACTAGTTCATTTTCGACATTGTACCACCATAAAACTTTTCGCCCAATAGATTCCCCAAGCTTGTTTGGAATACACAACCTGGATTTGGCATGCAGTAATTTCAACTGAAAAATTAGAATATCAGTAGAAAATCTAGTTGCTGCAAAAGCAATATTTTACAGATATTAGAAAAGAGAATTTCACAAGATTACATTAATCAAGATTTAGCATGTGGTTAAAGACAAAATAAGTAATAATTGAACCCCCGGGACACCATTGTGCCTCACCTAAATCATATAGATAATTTAGCAGTTAAATAGCAACTCCAATGATTCCTCATGCATAATAGGTCCGGCATAAGCCCAATAATGGAATATATATATCTATATCTATACATCTAATCATGAACCTTTACCAGTCAAACATGAATTTTGAAAATCTTTCTGAACATCCTATAAGTATTTGCTAGGAGAATTGCTACAAACGATTAGCCATCACAGATACACAGCCAGAGTAACCAAGTTTGCACTTAAGCTAAGACATTCCTCAAAGAGCTGCTCTGCATCAGCATTAACAAGAACATAATGTGAATTAAAAAAAAAAATAAAAAAACAAAAAAAAAAAACATAATAGGAGATGATTATGACGCCTCCACGCACTAAGGTGCAAATGTTGACCATAAACAAAGCTTAAATGAGGATGCCTATCAAAAGGATGTGCAAACATACAACAAAAGTCAACTGAGACAATTTAACCATTTGCAGTGACAACAAACAAATGCATCTGTAATGATCCATAAGCACAGAGAATTTTTTTTTTTTTTTTTAAAAAGATTGAGATAGAGAAAACAGTCTTGTGAGCTGTGATCCAATAAAAGCAGCCCTAGGTATAGTGAAAACGTAGTTCAAGTTTCCTTTTTAGCTGAAAAGTGTGTACTCCCGCAAAGCTTCATAGAGTAAACCGACTTAATGAAAAAAGGAGAAGTTGAGTTATTTACTTTTTATTTTATTTTATGCATTGAAAACAAGACATGGGTTAAATGTAACAGCTGGTAAAAAGAGATTCCCATTTTCAAGCAAACTCAACTTAACATAACTTGTACCAAGTACCAACTATTTGGGGTCAGCTACGCGAATCTTGCTTCACCATTCTACTTCATGTGAAGGCATAACTTCAGTTGATGAGGAACAAGGAAAAATTAAGTTATTTCTTTATTTTGACCGGAAGAAAGAAATAAAGTTCAACCATTTTAGCGGTAACAAGAAGACTAAGGTAACATGTCCGAGTTGGTAACAAAAGAATTCCATTTTCCAGAACAAGTTCAACTCAACTCAAATAGCCTTATCCCAACTATTTGGGTTGCTACATAAATCACTGAATCAAGTTTCCCATTATATTTTATCTCAGGTCATAGTTTCAACTAAACCATACAACATCATCTTTCATTATTATATCATCCATTTAATTTTGACATTTCCCTTCTTCTATCATTACTGTTAATGTGGCCAACTGGCCACGCGTTTCTCACCCATGTAGCTATTGATTTTCTTACATTTTTCAAAATAGAAAAAATACTGTTTCATGCTCTAAAGTGACGGAAAAATGTGTAAGAATTCTTGTTGTCAACACATTAAACTAACCCATATGTATTACAAATTTATGACTTGATATAAAAAATTATTGTCTTTAAACATATAGAAGCTACTCATGCTTCAAACCAAAAATAACTATATTAGAAATGAACCAAGCAGTTACATAGATCATACAATGAAAAGAATCAAAGAAGACATACACACACACACCCAAAAAAATGATCAAAAGATAAGTTCGATTGAAACTGACCACTGCCTGTACAATCTATGAACACATTGAAAAGAATAAAAGAAGACACAGACACAGAGAAAAATGATCAAAAGATATTTTGCTTGAAACTGACCACAGCCTGTAAAATCTGGATTTCTGTTCAAAGAGAAAGCCCAGCAAAAAGCAACTCCAACTCCTCATCCTGTGATGTGGTTCTCTGGCATAAAAGAAAGATATGAAAAAAAACAATGCTGATATTTTCAAGAAGCTTGAATTGAAGTGAAAGCAGAAAATCAATAAAAAATAAAGAAGTTTGAGCAAAATTGCACTTTACCTTCTATCTAGAATTAGCATTTTCACAGATTGTCCAACTTCTGTAAAATCTGGATAAAGTGAAAACTAAAAGGAAGGTTGGGTCTAAAACTGACACCATATCTATGTGGAAGGGAAGGTTCTTTACTTTTTATAAGTTCTGTAGTTCCTATCGCAATATCACAATGCAAAGCTCTGCTTAGTTTCTTAATGAAAAACTAACTGTATGCACTATTTATGAAGAGAAGGCCTCTTCATTTACTTCCAATTCATAAAAAGATTTATAAGAGGTATCCATCGCCACAATCCCAATGTCTCATCAGAAAATTGATTTTCTTAGGATCCTACATACTTATCTTAGTCTTAGTAATAGCAAATAAATTAAACTACACTTTCTTACATTCGTAGTCCAAGTTAGCCTCATATTAGGAATTTTGATCAAAATATAGCAAATATTATTAAAAAAAAAAAAGAAGAAGAAGAAGAAGAAGAAAGAAAAACGTATCTATAAAAGCAGTAATTCTTAATATATATATTTACAAGATACTATAAGACTTCTATGGAATTTTATGTTAGTGTACCTGAATGGACAAAAGTTGCAAAATTTTGTTGAGAACCCGCAATCGATGAGTTGCATACGTGCTGTTTGCAGGAAGTCGGTTCATTCTTTTCATTTCGTCGTGAACTGCTGCCTTCTTTTCTTCACACCCCATTTGCTTGCTTCCATCTTTTGCCTGAGTTCTAGTGATACTCTCTTTTGATTGATTAAGGGCACTGGTGCCCCCTAAATGGTGGAATGAATCCATTTTTGCAGTATACCTGTCTAATGTACATAAAAGATGATTTAATACTATTAAAATCACAAACAACAAACATAACTAGAAACACCATATCTGTGTAAAATTCATAATCTTGGTAATATGGTGGGCCAAAATGCTGGCCCTTCCTTCTCTTCTTAGTGGTGGAAGTGGGACACAAGCATTAAAGTCATGGAACCGCACTTCCCAAGGCTCTCCAAAAGCAAAGGGACAGAAGGACCAAATTAGAAGGTAGGGTGCTATTTATGGAACTACCGATCATATACTTGCAAGTTAAGGTGAAATGTTAGTCTGAATGTAGAGAATTTCTATGCCACTGGCAAAGGACAGACAATTAGAGAATTGGGTGCACTAATACATCTTTCTGGAAGGACGTTGTGCCCTAACTAGAAGGAAATCACAAGTTAATTAGTTGCAGTTCCAAATTTTGGGAAGATCACGTAATTGAGGAACAAATACATTTTTATAACATCTTTATCAATATCATCTTATTGCTGGTCTACAAAATTAGTAACATCATTGCCTTCTAAATCTTCAAAGTAGCTTGTAAAAAGGGTCGGAAATTTGAAAGCATTGTGATTCGAAATATCAATTCCTTTTGTTTCATACTTTCCTAGCAACCAATCGCAGATTAGATGGTCACCTGAAATATTATATATGTCTAGTGTTAACAAATGAAACTAATCTCAATACCAGAAGTGATTGTTTGAATACGTCACCTTCTTGAAGAAGTAGAAAGGAGTGTGCAAATCTATATCTATTAAAGAAGGAAGATGAACTATTAAGAAACAACCAACAAAAAGGCCCTGTCGGAGAAAAGTACTCCTACGAACAGAAACCCTAACCTTTTTGTTTGCTTGCCGAGAAAACGAAGGAAATAAGAAAATAAAATCTAACTGTGAGCTACTATGGTCATCTTATTTCGATTCCTAGGAACATAAATAAACATTCAATTCAACAGCTCCAGACAATCAAAGTAAGGCCTGGTTGAGTATAATTTTTTGGCTTTCTCGGTCATCAATAATTATAGCACGAGAGAGTATATAAATTCATTTTTTCTCTTTTCTCAAACGAAACTCATAGATGAATGAGACTGATGAACTTACCGTTTCTCGAGATCTTATCAGCCTTCCCTTGTCTCAGAGAGAGAGAGCGGGAGGAGGGGCGGAGGAGCGGAAGGGACGTTGCCAGACAATGCTTAGGGGTGAATTACCTGACCTCCCCTAAATTTTGGACTTATTACCCGTACATGAAACTTTTAAAAAAATTACTATAAATTCGACTTCTTGACACCGTTAAAATTTATTATAAAAACGCAAAAATACCTTCACCCTCACATTTAATAATTTATATATATATATATATATATATATATTTTTTTTTTTTCACGAATTAAAATTTAATAAAATATATACTCCATATAAACATATAAAGGTATATAATCTACGCCGCACTCAACAATAATCCAACGCCCCAACCACCAGCTTCACCGTCACCACTATCCGCCACCTCTCTCTTCATCTCCAAACGCCATCTCTTTCCGTCACACACACTCTACACTTGCACACACTCTCTCTCACACACACAAGCAAAGTCAATTAACAGCGTACTGCCGAAAAGAAAACAAGAGCGACCCGAACCTATTATTGCACATATGGTGAAGGCCATCTCGGAACTATTCAACCACTCCTTCCCCGGTGAGATGTTTAACCGACCGACCTAGATTTACCCGTATTGAATTTTCAAACTCCAAATCTCCAATTTCAACAACATCTACCATTTTTTCTCCAATTACTTCCATCCCTTCACCAAAGTATCACTCCAAACACAAGAAAACCCTCCAATCCCATCAACCAAGACCATACTACTCCTTGCCAAACGCCGCAGGTCCCAAACTCAACCAAATAGGTTGAAATTTTTTGGTGTTACAGAGACATAAAGTGGTGGAATAGGACCCCTCCAAGACCATCAAGGTCCCTCTTGCTCTTGGGTCACACTCGAATCCCTTGACATATACCATTGGGCTAAATAGTTGCAAATTATCATATGTTCAAAACATGTCATTATTATTATTATTATTTTAATAGGTGGTACTCACATAAGTGTCCTTACTAAAGGTTTTTTTTTTTTAATTTGTTTTTTCGGGTCTTGCCTTCATTGAAGTTACAAACCTCATATTTTTTATGAGTTCTTAAAAAATAAGGTATTGATAGTACTAAATTACTGACATATAATAAAATATGTCATTGTTGTATTTCAATTATTTAATAAAATAAAATATTTAAATTTCAACATTTTTTGGAAATCAAGTCCACATGTCGGGCACAACTGCCACACAACCAAATATTATAACTTTGTGTCAAAAAATTTCAATATTTTATTTACATGATGACAAACTATGAATAGGAACTATTATTCTAGAGACTTCGTAATAATTTGTCATTTGTCACGTAAGCATTTCCCACATTTCATATCCATTTTTTAAAATAAATATTTAGTATGTCAATGTACCCATTCATCTGAACCCTACATGTATAATATGCACTTGCACAAGAATATTAGTTCCGACTAAACCAGAGCGTCGCGCCAGCCGTACCAAATTCCTTATCCACCAAATTCCTTATTGTCTTCAAGATCTCCAATTCAGAAGCCAAGTTTTCAATTCGAACAACAAGGCTCTCTGCACCATCTTGTACCTCTGTTTCTGTAGGAAAACCCACGAACTCTTCCAAATGGAAAACTCTTTCACGAGTATTACCTCCAGCCATCGTAGAACGGGGCTCTGATACCAATTGTCACAGGGCTAAATTACACCACGAATTTTTGCCTCTGCAATGGCACTTGGGGCCACCAAGTCTCAGCCAACATAACAACACAATATAGAAAATGTAAAGAAGGCACACACAGTTACAGGGACAAGCCCCAACCTTTGCTCATATTAAACATATTACAAAGGAACATGAGTTCGTACAAGGAACAACCAAGGCTCACACCCTCTTCTCTGTTCCCTCTACAAAGCCCACCTTAGCATTATATAGGCCACTCTCAAAACCGCCCATAACTGCCCACTAAGATGATGGATGACACCCCCATCCACCTAGGGTCGTGCTGGCACCCTCTAAATGAGCCAGCACTATAATGCAGTTGACAAGCCCAACTGCTAGACTTGTTGGCATGTTCTGCTCATGCCACATAACCACAAGAAGTTAGATTCTGCATAGTGGAGGAAACCACCCTTAACCGCCTGTGTGTTGGTCCTCTCAGAATTGTGCCACATGTTTGGGAGGTTACTCAGCACTCCCCCACTTCCCATGATGAGTGGGAAGTGCTAGTAACTTCCCCCAACCAACCGAGCCCACTAAGCCACCACCTCTTGTAACCGCAAGCCATGACTTTGTGTTGTCCATGCTCTAGCCACATCTGAGTCAACCTTGTGAACCTAGCCCAAGTCCACCAATCTGCACCCACATACATATGTCTCTGAGTGCACGGCGTGCCAAGCCATGCACGCCCGTGCGCACGCTCGGATGCACACCAAAGTGCACGCCGGCGCACACACTAGTGCCCTTCTTCGCGCGCCATGTTTGAACCCTCATGCGCCCGTGGCTATACGCCCACCTGGACGCCCATGTGCACGCCGAGCTAGACGCTCACGCACACTAGGTTGGACGCCTACCCGTGCGCCCACCTGCACGCCCGCACGCGCGCCGCTGCACCCCAGCGCGTATGTCAGTGCACACTTGTTTGCCCTTCAATATCTTGGATGCTCCCCACTTGTGCAACCATCTTGGAGTGGTGCAACACGTGCCCATGCACGTTGGCTAAGCCCTCTAAGCAAGCCATGCCATAGCCCAACCAACGCGCTCAACAGACCCCCCCTAATATAGTCTTAAGGAAATCCAGCACTCTGACAGGAGTAAACATCACCCATGCTTGAGGAGTCATAATGGCCTTTCAGACCTTTCCCGACATCCAAATTGAGTGCCGTCTGCGCCAACCAGCTTCTATGGACTCAAGGTATCTCCCATAAAGATCCCGAGTCAAAACTCCAAGTTTCACTTTTCGCCATATTTACGAAAGTGCCACTGGGCACCCCCAGTGCACGCCGAGCATCCTTTTAAGCATCTTGTGTGCACGCTGAGCATCTTGTGCACGCTGACAACCTACTGAGCATTCTCATGGCTGTCTAACCAAAGCCAAAGTATTCCCAAGACATGGCATGGCCTTGAAATGCCCATGTCTTCCCTTGGACAACCGTCAAGGGGCTAACAAACCACCCCCACCAGAAGAAGTCGACGCCCTCGTCGACTTGTCCAAGTACTCCCTTACTTGTTTCTCAAACTGCCATAATGTCACATCCCTTTCCCAACTCGCTTCTGCTTCACTGCATCCTTTCCATTGCACCAAATAATCAGTTCTGCGATTTTTCTTACTCTGACCCTGGGTCCGGTGAGACAAAATCTTCTCCACCTCCTTGTTAAACTGCAACCGAATAACAGGTGGGGCTCTCTTAGCCTGCTGTCTTGATGTATCTGCAGTTTCCTCGTGAAAAGGCTTGAGGAAACTTACATGAAAAGTAGGATGGACCTTCAGTCTCTCAGGTAACTGTAATCTGTAAGCAACATTCCCCACTTTCTTCACAACTTCAAATGGACCATCATACTTCTGAATCAGCCCTCTGTGAACAGTCTTGCTGCTTATCTTCTTCCAAATCTGTGGAGTCAACTTCAACAGAACCTTGTCTCCCACTTGGAACTCTAATGGCCTTCTCCCTTTATCTGCATACTTTTTCATCCTTCTCGCAGCCTTGGCAAGGCTGTCCTGTGCCTCCTCCACCATCTCTTGCATGGAACGGGCATATCGGTATGCTGCAGGGCATCTTCCACCAGTCCTCTGCACTGCCACCTCCTGTGGTGTGCGAGGTTGTTGCCCTGTTGCCAACTCAAAGGGACTCATTCCTGTTGCTGAAGACCTGTGCAAATTATAAGAGAATTGTGCAGTGTCTAGCAACTCCAGCCAATTTTTCTGACTTGCAGTGACATAGTGCCTCAGATATTCTTCCAATAACTGGTTCATCCTCTCAGTCTGCCCGTCAGTCTGAGGATGGTTTGCTGTGGAGAACTTCAGTTCAGAACCCATCAAGCCAAATAGCACTGTCCAGAACCTTCCCGTAAATCTGGTGTCACGATCACTAACAATATCTTCGGGCAAGCCAAAATATTTCACCACAAACTTATGAAATAAACCAGCAGTAACTTCCGCTGGGCATGCATGTGGTGCAGCAATAAAAATTGCATACTTAGAGAATCTATCTACAACCACAAAAATAGATCTCATACCTTCCACCTTAGGAAAACCAGAAATGAAGTCCATTGAAACTGACTGCCATGGACGCTCTGGTATAGGCAAAGGTTGCAGTAGCCCTGCCTCCTTCTTCCTTTCATGCTTGTCTTTCTGACAGACCAAGCAAGTCTTGACATATAACTCTATGTCATCCTCCATCTTGGGCCAGTAATATGATCTGGATATCAACGCCAGCATTCTATCCACCCCTGGATGTCCAGCCCACTGAGGATCATGCATTTCCCGCATTAGTTCCCGTCTCAAACCTCCAACAGGAACATATAATCTACCTCCTCTGGCGTAGAGTAGATTATCTTCAATCCAGTACTTTCTGACTTCACCATCAATAACCTGTTGCTTTAGTTTCTGATAGGCATTGTCGGACTGAGATTGCTCTTTGATTCTGTCAAGGAAATCAGTATACACCGTTGTCAATGACGCCACATACTCCTGCACTTCTTTCCTACTCAAGGCATCAGCAACCTGATTCTGCTTTCCAGGTCTGTGAACCGACACAAAATTGAACTCCCCAAGAAACTCTTGCCAACGAGCTTGCTTTGGAGTAAGCTTTTTCTGTGCCTTGAAGTAGGTATTGGCCACATTATCAGTCACCACTGTAAACTTAGTACCCAACAGATAGTGTTTCCATGCGTCAAGACAATGTATCACTGCAGTCATCTCCTTCTCATGAGTTGTATACCTCTGTTCAGCATCCTTAAGCTTCCTGCTTTCAAAGGCACATGGGTGTCCTTCTTGGACTAGAACCCCACCAATTACTCTATCAGAGGCATCAGTATGCACTTCAAATGGCAAACCAAAGTCAGGCAGTCTCAAGACCGGTTCTGTAGACACTGCCTGCTTAAGCATCTCAAAAGCATTCTGGCACTCCTCAGACCAAACCCACTGTTTGTCCTTCTTCAGCAAGTCCGTTAAAGGACTAACCTTCTTGGAATACCCCTTTATAAACTTTCTGTAGTAGTTTGCCAACCCTAGAAAAGATCTTAACTCTGTCACTTTGGTAGGTGCAGACCAATCAAGAATGGCTTTCACCTTTCTCTCATCCATTCTGACATGGCCCTTACTGATCCAATGCCCCAAAAACATCACTTCTTGGCGACAAAACTCACACTTCTCCTTTTTGACAAATAACTGAAACTCCTTCAGTTTTGAGAAAACCAATCTCAAGTGTTTTAAGTGATCTTTCAATGACTCACTATAGACTACAATGTTATCCAAATAAACAACAACAAAGCGATCGATGTAGTCATAAAACACATTATTCATTAAGTTGCAGAAGGTTGCCGGGGCATTAGTTAGCCCAAACGGCATTACAAGAAATTCATAAGACCCATAACGAGTTACACATGCAGTTTTAGGTTCATCTCCTTCTGCTATACGCACCTGCCAGTAGCCTGCACGTAAATCCAGCTTAGTAAAGTATGATGCCCTTGAAAACCTGACAAATAAATCAGCGGCATTGGGCACTGGATACTTGTTCTTCACAGTCACTTTATTCAGAGCCCTATAGTCCACACACATCCGCATTGAGCCATCCTGCTTCTTTTGGAACAACACTGGCGCGCCATACGGTGCCTTGGATGGTTGAATATAGCCAGACTCCAGCAACTCATCCAACTGTCTACGCAGTTCAGCCAGTTCTGAAGGCGCCATCCGATATGGGGCCTGAGCAGGAGCCCTTGCACCTGGCTCCAACTCTATCTTGTGATCAACAACACGTCGAGGGGGCAATTGCTTGGGTAGTTCTGGTGGCATCACTTCTGCAAATTCCTCTAGAATTTTAGCAACAGAATCCGGAACTTCAACAAGCTTGTCCGGTTTGATCTCTATCATAGCTGCAAGAAAGGTAGAGTCTCCCCTCTTCAAACCTGTTTTCACTTGCAATGCAGAGATTATTTCGATGCAACCATATTTACGATCTTCCTTCTTTTGGTGCCCCATAAAGAGCCACTGATGGAATAAAACATGGACAACTCCTGTCCCAAATAAAAACTCCTCCCAAATATGGCACAACTACCACTCTGGTTTTCATAAGGAACTCAATTCCAAGAATTAGATCAAAATCATCTAAGGGAACAGCCATAAGACTAACTACGCCCTCCCAACAACCAACTTTCATAGAAGTGGTGGCCATGCCTAAAACAGGCTTGGCTTCAGAATTCACAGCTTTCATCTTATTAGCATGTGGAATTAACTTTAAATTAAAGTTACTTACTTCCCTCTGCGCAATGAAGTTATGAGTGGCCCCCGTGTCCACCATTGCCAAAACTTCCTTGCCGTTCAGTGTCACCTGAATGAACATGAGCCCTTTCAACTCCATGGACTATTCTTCAGTAAGAGCATTCAGCATTTGCAGAGGATTAACTCGGGTTGGACCAGTTTCCGAGTCCGAGTCTCCTTTTGAATCAGCGATAATAGCACTCAGCTTCTCCCTCTTGGGACAGTCCCTAACACGATGGCGACCATTGCATATGAAACAACCGTAGTTGGGCTTAGTCCCACTACTACTCCCTTTGTTGTTGTAATCTGCCTTGGCCTTGACAAAGCCACCGCCTTTATCCTTCTTTTGATTCTTGTCCTTCTTTTTGTCCTTGAACTAGAAGGACTGGCCTTTGTCTTTCTTCCCCTCCTTGGACTTTTTCTTGTCTTGTGTAGTAGACCCAGTCATCTTGAAATCTACAAGACAATCTGCCGCTGTCATGGCAGTAAGAAGGTCCCTCACACCTTGCCTACGGAGTTCTGCCTGAGCCCATGGTTGCAATCCGGACATGAAATTGAACAGTTTGTCCTCCTCTGACATATTTCGAATGTCCAGCATCAAGGAACTAAAGTCCTTCACATAGTCACGAACGGTACCTGTGTGCTTCAATTTCTTCAGAGATTCCCTTGCAATCCATGCAGTGTTCTGAGGCAAGAACTGGTCTTTCAATTCCTTCTTGAGGGTCTCCCAAACTTCAATCCGAGGCCTATCCGCAGAAGCATCGTCCTCTGTCCGTGTGCGCCACCATAGCTTTGCATCACCAGACAGATACATGCTTGTAATGGTCACCTTCTCGCCATCAGGGATCCGAGCAGCCTTGAAGTACTGCTCCATGTCCCATAGGAAATTCTTCAACTCTTTGGCATTTCGGGTACCACTGAAAGACTTGAGATCCGGCACCTTGATCTTCTGTGAAAGAGAATCACCACCGCCTCTGGAACTCCCATGAATGGCCCTCTTTACCAAGGACACTTCATCTTCAAGGTCTTTCAGGTTCTTCTTGAAGACATCAGTCAATGACTCAACATCTTCAGAGATACGGGTCAATTGCTCTTTGGTGGCCTGCATGAAGTCACCAAACCCATCAGGATCAATCTTCAAGATCTCCAATTCAGAGGCCAAGTTTTCAATTCGAACAACAAGGCTCTCTGCACCATCTTGTACCTCTGTTTTTGTAGGAAAACCCACGAACTCTTCCAAATGGGAAACTCTTTCACGAGTATTACCTCCAGCCATCGTAGAACGGGGCTCTGATACCAATTATCACAGGGCTAAATTACACCACGAATTTTTGCCTCTGCAATGGCACTTGGGGCCACCAAGTCTCAGCCAACATAACAACACAATATAGAAAATGTAAAGAAGGCACACACAGTTACAGGGACAAGCCCCAACCTTTGCTCATATTAAACATATTACAAAGGAACATGAGTTCGTACAAGGAACAACCAAGGCTCACACCCTCTTCTCTGTTCCCTCTACAAAGCCCACCTTAGCATTATATAGGCCACTCTCAAAATCGCCCATAACTGCCCACTAAGATGATGGATGACACTCCCATCCACCTAGGGTCGTGCTGGCACCCTCTAAATGAGCCAGCACTATAATGCAGTTGACAAGCCCAACTGCTAGACTTGTTGGCATGTTCTGCTCATGCCACATAGCCACAAGAAGTTAGATTCTGCATAGTGGAGGAAACCACCCTTAACCGCCTGTGTGTTGGTCCTCTCAGAATTGTGCCACATGTTTGGGAGGTTACTCAGCACTCCCCCACTTCCCATGATGAGTGGGAAGTGCTAGTAACTTCCCCCAACCAACCGAGCCCACTAAGACACCACCTCTTGTAACCGCAAGCCATGACTTTGTGTTGTCCATTATCTAGCCACATCTGAGTCAACCTTGTGAACCTAGCCCAAGTCCACCAATCTGCACCCACATACATATGTCTCTGAGTGCACAGCGTGCCAAGCCATGCACGCCCGTGCGCACACTCTGATGCACACCAAAGTGTACGCCGGCGCACACACTAGTGCCCTTCTTCGCGCGCCATGTTTGAACCCTCATGCGCCAGTGGCTATACGCCCACCTGGACGCCCACGTGCACGCCGAGCTAGACGCTCGCGCACACTAGGTTGGACGCCTACCCGCGCGCCCACCTGCACGCCCGCATGCTCGCCGCTGCACCCCAGCGCGTGTGTCGGTGCACACTTGTTTGCCCTTCAATATCTTGGATGCTCCCCACTTGTGCAACCATCTTGGAGTGGTGCAACACGTGCCCATGCACGTTGGCTAAGCTCTCTAAGCAAGCCATGCCATAGACCAACCGATGCGCTCAACAGACCCCCCTAATATAGTCTTAAGGAAATCCAGTACTCTGACAGGAGTAAACATCACCCATGCTTGAGGAGTCATAATGGCCTTTCAAACCTTTCCCGACATCCAAATTGAGTGCCGTCTGCGCCAACCAGCTTTTATGGACTCAAAGTATCCCCCATAAAGATCCCGAGTCAAAACTCCAAGTTTCACTTTTCGCCATATTTACGAAAGTGCCACTGGGCACCCCCAGTGCACGCCGAGCATCCTTTTAAGCATCTTGTGTGCACGCTGAGCATCTTGTGCACGCTGACAACCCACTGAGCATTCTCATGGCGGTCTAACCAAAGCCAAAGTATTCCCAAGACATGACATGGCCTTGAAATGCCCATGTCTTCCCTTGGACAACCGTCAAAGGGCTAACACTTATCCACTTCCAACTTTAATAAGATCCAGGTGTTATTTTTCCATATTTATTACTACTAAATGAATATTTTATTCCTATCATATCTCAACGGTTTCCCATCCGACATTGTTTTTCAAAAACATTCCCAACAACTTTTTAAAAACATTCTTTTGTTAAAGATAATTTCCGTCTCTGCCATTAACCCATTTCTCTCTATATCTGTCTAACCCTATACCTTCGAGTACTGAATAACAGACGCGAATTCCTCAAATTAGCAAAAACAGTTCCCAAAGTTTGTTTTCCCAAAGCGTTTTGGCGCAACATACATTCTACGGATGCTGAGGGCTCTGACAGCTCACACTTCCGTACACTTCTCCTAGTTTGTTTTCACGCTTTCACCCAAAATTTTAAAACCCTTATTAGTTCCAATATCCGCATTTGGTCCTTCCCTGATCTGAATTAGGGTTTTGAATTCGCGTTTTCGGCAATGTAGAGCTTTCAAATGTTTTAATTTGTAGAATGAGACCACTATATATATGTATACCTGATTCGGATTCGGATTGATTTGTGATTGGAAGAGCAGGAGTTTTTTGTCATGATGTTGACGGTGTCGCATCCGTCTGTAGTTCGTAGCTCGCTGGAGGAGATGCTGGAGTCTCTCCGGCGAAAGGACGAGAATGAGAAGCCAAAGGACTTGCCGCCTGCGTTGCCTGCTCGGCCAACTTCCAGGGCTCGCCATCCCTCCTCCAGGCGGCGGCCTTTGCGGACCAACTTTGAGGTGGGCAATGCTGGTCCAGAGTGCTCGTCCAATTGCATTAGCAAAAAGGAAAATGTCAAAGAGTCAAAAGGTGGTAGTTTGAGGACCAAGAAGACGAAGGAAGTTCCTGCTGGTGAATCGCCTTATGTTATAGAGTCGGAAGAGAAGAAATATGCACAGAGGTTGGATGAAGCAGATGGTGCCAATCTCGCAGCTGAGGCTACTGTATCACCACCACCACGGTTTCGGGAGTCTGAGTGGAATCACAACGTTGGTTATTTTATTAAAAAGGTACACATATGAGTTTCTTATTCTTAGCTATGTTTTCTATTTGCATGAGTTTTCCGAAGGGTGGTTAGTTCTGAAACTTAGTGATATATAATAACTTTCGGCTCTAGGACTAGTTTCTTGTGACTCTAACATGTTGTGTCATTTCGTGGTGAAGCATTGTGAATTTGTAGGCATACATAGTTGAAATGATAGGGAGTAGCCAGGTTCTTATACTTGGGTAGTGTTTCGTCCATATTAACTTCTTGGCTAGTTTAAGGGTCTGCTATGCATGTGTATTCAATGTATTTTGTAGAAGATCTAAATAATGACAACATTGTACTTCCTCTCCTGAACTTGTTGCTTGAATCTTGTTATTTGACTGGCTTACATTTTAATTGGGCATATGGTTATTAAGGTTCTTCCTTTCTGCGGTAAAAGATTTAAAAAAATGCCCACTTGGTTACTTTCTCTTGTGGGCTTGCTTTCAGAGCATTTCCTATGTCTGCCTTTCTTTTTTTTTTTTTTTTTTATCCCCTGGTCCTTGTATCTGTTTAAGATACTTTCACCTGGTTCTGTTGCTGTTGGTACTTCAAACTTCTCTTGTGGAAAATACATTCTATTTGCGAGCGAAAATGATTTTTCAGTGATATGATAAATATTCTGGTTATAGACAATAACCTATATGATTTATTTGTACTCTACTTGGGTACACTACCCCTTTCCTTCTTGTGAGTTTTCAATTACTATTATCACAACTACTCTCAGTTAGTGTATGAGATTTCTTATATTTCATTGTCAGCGTTTTCCCTCAACATGTTTCATTTGTCAAGGAACACTTACCTAAAGTACTTCATGCAGAAACTTCGTGTTTGGTGTCAGCTCCCAAATGGGCAGTGGGAATCAGGACTGATACGATCATCTTCAGGGGAGAAAGCGTCTGTTTTGCTCTCAGACGGGAATGTGAGTCCTTAAGTTCTGGCCACCTACTTAGAGCTTTTAATTGTTCAAAGCACTCAAGTAAATGGAATGTGCATTTCACCCTTGTCGTTGTTACTACAGGTTGTGCAAGTTTCAACAGGAGTGATCTTACCTGCGAACCCGGACATCCTCGAGGGTGTGGATGATCTCATACAGCTCAGTTATTTGAATGAGCCATCAGTTCTTCACAACCTTCATCACAGATATTCTCGTGATATAATTTATGTAAGTATTATCATATAGGTATTTTATTTGCTTTTCAGTGCTAGTAACTCTACCTTTTCCACTCCTTTGAACAATGCTTGTGGTTTCTTCCATTAGAGTAAAGCAGGGCCTGTTTTAATAGCAATCAATCCCTTCAAAAATGTCCAACTTTATGGGAATGACTTTGTCAAAGCTTACAGGAAGAAACTCTTCGACAGTCCTCACGTTTATGCAATTGCAGACATGGCGTATAATGAAATGATGAGAGGTGGGTTAAACCATGCTTAAAAAAATACGGGGAAAAGGTTATTAGTTATCTGCACACTTTGTCACTAAAACATTCATTATATTACTTTTCTGTTACTGTGGCTCTTGCAGATGAAGTGAATCAATCCATCATTATAAGGTTAGTTGCAATGCCTTTGTCTTAGCTCCACAAATTGGGAGCTCCTGTGTTCCTTTTGATGCAGTCTCCTATATCAGGTCTATGGTCTTACTTCTCATAAAATGAACCTTAGAAACCGTAATTTTATCTATTTTATAGTGGGGAAAGTGGATCTGGGAAAACCGAGACAGCAAAAATTGCAGTGCAGTACTTGGCTGCTCTTGGTGGTGGCAGTGGTGGGACAGAGAGTGAAATTCTTCAGACAAGCTGTATACTGGAAGCATTTGGGAATGCAAAAACATCCAGGAATGATAACTCTAGTCGATTTGTGAGTTCTTGCTCTCTCTCTCTCCCCTTGCAGGAAGGCAATTATTGCTTTGTGCTTAAATAATCAAAATTGTGACTACCACCTGGTTTAATCATTAAGCAATAGGGGTAACTCAGATCATTTATAGAACAAACAGTTTAAGTCACGAATCTTCCTGATGTGATGCAGGGAAAGTTCGTTGAAATTCATTTCAGTGCAACTGGAAAGATATGTGGTGCTAAAATCCAGACATGTAAGTATGTTTAGATTGGAAAAGTTGCTAGAAGCAAGCATTATTCTATGTTCACTTTGTATTTGTTAACTTGATCCATTTCTTTAACTTCAATGTGTTTGTCAAACATCAACTTATACAATACTTGTGGATAGCTCTGCTCGAAAAGGTAACTGATTACCCTTCTGAACTCTTGCTTATTTTTTATTTTTAACAAAAAAATCAATGAGTGCCAGTTTTAAAAAATATCATGTTTTCTTTAAGCAGTCAAGAGTGGTTCAGCTGGCCCATGGGGAAAGGTCATACCATATATTTTACCAACTTTGTGCTGGGGCTCCATCCTATCTCAAAGGTAGTTTGCATTTGATTATTATTCCATTTTAGATGGTTCATTAATTTTTTTATTTTGTAGAAATTCTAAAATTGATGTTAGACTGGATGTTAAAATTGACGGGGTTTGACACTAAGGCTAGGTATCTAACACTGACATAAATAAGAATTATTTATAACTTAAATGCTGGTGTGACACTATATGTTCAACGTGTTACATTTGGAATGTGTTGATATGGTGGTAAAGGTTATGTTATATGTATCTTTGTTTTGTAGTTAAGCCACTGCACAACTTCTGTATATATTTTTTGGGGACACGAAGCTTAGTTTTAGAAAAAATATATATTAGAGAGAGTGATCATTTTTTGTTGTTGTAGGATCAGGATGTGCAAGGGTAAAACATGTATTGGAGAGATGAAATAGGGAATATGAAGGATATTGTTCCTATTGAGACTTGGATGTGTTTACGGAATGATGGCATGTCACAACTAACAAAATTGTTCATGATAACTACAAAAATGCTTCATACAACAACAACAACAACCACCGCCAAGCCTTTTCCCAATTATTTGGGGTCGGCTACATGGATCCCATGTTTCCATTCTTCTCTATTTAAAGCCATAGCTTCGGTCAATCCACATCCTTTCATAAGAAAATGTTTCATGAGTAGTGTAAATTATTTTAGTAACTATGTATAAAAAAATAAGGGGATATTCAAAATTGTATAAATAATCATGGTGTTAAATTAACAAGTCGCAATATGGATCTCTGAGAGTAAGTGATTGAATGATTAAGACGTATAATTATGGTATCGAAAAATTCGTATTTTTACCAGAAAGGTTAGAAAAAGAAACTATTTACTAAGTGAATAGATTAATGGAAAACATAAAAAGAAAAAAGAATTTTGAATGACTTCTCTCAATCTGGAGAAAACTTATAATAGGTTTCCCAGAGATATAATGCAATGGATTTTTGAAAAGAAAAAGGATTCACAATAATATATTGATATGATAAAGGACTAGATGCTATTGTGCTAAAATTAAGTAAGAAAGAAACATTACATCAAATATTAGCATTATATCTTTAGCCTTAGGTAGATGAACTAACAAAATACATACATTTAAGATGGGATTTGGGAGTAAATGTTATTTTATTGATTATTTTAGTTGTTGAAATCAGCAAAGAATGAATTCCGAAAAAATTAGAAAAGAATAAATGTGAAATTAGAGGCGTGGAAAGAACCTCTACAATAAAGAGAGTTTCGGATAAGCAGGATTAAAACTAAATATTAGAAATTCAACTTAGCAAATTTAGAAATGCAAGGATTCTGAAATATCTAAAAATAAACATTTTCATTACCTAGACTCGATTGTACACATACCAGAGAGAGAGAGAGAGAGAGAGAGATGTTTCTCGCATAATTCATGCAAGATGGGTTAAATGGAGGAGTGCTTCTCGCATAATGTGTACTCAATACGTACCATTAAAATTGAAAGATAAGTTCTATAAAATAGATATTAGACCACTCATACTCTATGAAGCAGTATGTTGGGAAGTAAAGAAATAACATGATGGTAAGACAAAAAAGGACAAAACTGGAAAGAACATATTCGTGAGACCATTGAAGTAACACCTATTGGAGATAAGATGAGTAAAAATTGGTTATGATAGTTTTGCCACATGCCGGGAAGAAGAACAATTACACTTGTGAGGAAGACTGATGCGGTCCACGTTGGGTAATGTTAGGCAAAGAAAAGCCAAGTAATGGGTTGATACAGTTAGGAAATGTATCATAGAATGTAGTTTGACAGGGCTTATTGCTTTCAATAGAGCAAAAAGGGGTTCATCCCCAAATAGTTGAAATAAAGGCATATTGAGTAAGTTGGAATTTGATCTTTAGAATTTCGATACCGCCTGAAGTTATTTGCAGCATATGGCAGTTGAAATGCAACTAGATGGTTGGAAACTGTCACGTCATATGTTGCACCAAGGATTTCTGTTGAACAACAATATTATTTTTGTGCTGAACCTCGATATGTTCACTCTTTTTTTAAAACCAGATATAGGGTGTGGCATTCTATGTCAAATTTTTTAGTTGAAATTTCACAAAGACTTTGTGCTCTTTCAGTGTCATATATGTTTCTCTTTACAGATAAATTGAACTTAAAAATGGCAAGTGAGTACAAATATCTCAATCAGAGTGACTGCTTGGCAACCGATGATGTCAATGATGCTTCAAAATTTCATATTCTTATGGTAACTAAAATGATACCACCATAGGGTAGCATTCCTTATTTCAGTTAATTTATGCCTCCCATAATACGCATTTTTAAATTTCTATGTTTTTCATCTCTCCAGAAAGCCTTAGATACTGTCCGAATCGGCAAAGAAGATCAAGAACATGCCTTTGAAATGCTTGCTGCAGTATTATGGCTGGGTAATATATCGTTTCAAGTAATTGACAATGAAAATCACGTTGAGGTTGTGGATGATGAAGGTATGATCTGCATGCTTCCTTTTTTGGAATGTCATATATTGATGGTTGTCCTGCATCTGATTCTGTTTCAAAACAGCTTCATTGCTAACTTTGTTTTTTTATTTATTAGCAACTGCCACAATCTTGGTGTTCCATCATAAATTGAGAGCAACAGTTTATATCTTTGTAGGAATCACATGTAGATATACCTTTTCTCTGAGCACTTAAGCAGTTAAGCATAGAAGGAATATGCTAAATATTTTTCCTACACTAAATTCCAAATTGCCCTTTTGGTGGGCAATGTAACTCTTCGTGTTAGCTGTCATTCTAAGCTCTTTAAGGTCCCAGAGCTTTGAACTTGGTACAGAAAATATCATCCATGATCTGGGAAAAACTGAACAACTGGACGGCACGTGTTAAACTAGGTTTAACTGATTAGTATTGTTGTAAAGTATAAAACATATGTGAAGAGAAATAAAACGAGAAAAACACACAGATATTACTTGGTTCAGCCATTAGGGCCTACATCCATGGCATAAAGAGCCCAAAGGGCTACATCACTTTTATAATACTCCCTCAATTCATTCACAATACAATGGTGGAGGCTCCTTTTTATAGGAGAAGAAATTACGATAATGCAAAGAATTAGAAAATAGGAATCAAGGAGGATTTTTCTCCACTGATTCCTCTAGTAACACCAAATCTTCAATAATAGGAAACAACATCAATTACTGAAAGATTTTCCTCTACTGATTCCTCCATTAAATCTTCAATACTCCCCCTCAAGTTGGAGCATGAATGGCCAACTTGCCATTGAGATGACGAGTAACAACAAGTGTGAATGATGAAGAGAGAAGAGTGAAAACGAAGAACAATACTACCAAACACACCGACAGCTCAAACAAGTTGATAAAAACTGCCGGAGATATGGCAAAGACAAAGATAATGCTACCGAACAAACTGGTAGCCCAAACAAGTGAACAAAAAACTGCCGGAGACACGACAAAGACAAGGACAATGCTATTGTACACACCGGCGGCCCAAACAAGTCGATAAAAACTGCCAGAGACACGGCAAAGGTGAAGAACATTACTGCTGAACAAACCGGCATATGAAACAATATCAATTACTGAAAGATTTTCTTCCACTGATTCCTCCATTAATTCTTCAATAAGTATATAGAGGTATCTCTTGGAGTTTATTCTAGAACTTTAAACCTCCTTTAGAAAATAATATCCATAATTGGAAAAAGTTAATGGATGTAAAAAATCTATGAATTAAATCACGTTCAATTATTAAGTATTGAGGCATCTCTTTGAGTGTATTCTTGTAGTTTAAGCCTCACATTTTACCGAAGCAATGATGGTAATTTAATATAAACATATGCATCATCATATTGCCAAAACGACCTATTACTCAAATGAGGTAGTAGAGTAATAATTTGTTGTCTATACCAACTGACTTGCTAACTGAACCAGTAGTCCTAATCACTGGGAGTGTCAGAAGATAAGATTGGTATGTTTTTCCGGTATCGTAAAACACTTATCTCAATAATATGGCTTATTCTACTGCTGATCTATTTACCTATTATACAACCCACTAAATTGCAACCTTATGTTTTTATCTCTTATGATTCAGGTACAACCCATTCTATTTCATATCTTATTTATTTATTTATTTTATTTTTGAAACTCGCACACCCACTTTTACCCTATCCCCGCTTAAACCCTTAACCTTCTACTTTAGAAGGTGATGAAGCACCACTAGGTTATGGCCCTTAGTATTCTTTTTCATATCAATCTCATGTGACGGAGTGAGAGTTATGAATGTTCATGAAGGAACAAATATGACTTTGATTTCACAAAGTTTAGAGAAAATGAAACGAATTATGATATTTTATTAATGAATAATGAATAATGAATTTCTAATGTGCCATTGCAGTACATGTAAGAAATTCTAAAAACAGTCCAATTTGGCAAAGTCTTTAAAAATTATGAAAAAATAGAGATACAATCCTAATGCCTAAACGAAGACAACTACCAAAAAAAATCTAGAAATATTGTCTTTCTACTGAACGAAAAAACGTGGTTTTGAGGCCCTAAAGATCGAATTCGGCTAAAAAATGACATGGGCCACAAGCATAGCTTTTGATATTGATTGTTGGGCGGTTTCTAATCGGGAATAAGTATGCGATTCATAGTGGGTTCGTCAAACTTTACCAGAAAAATTCGGTGACCTGTCCTACATTATCATGCTAATAAATATAGTTAGACCGATTATCAATTACATTGCATGGGATTATATTCTAAATCATACATTATCTGGAGTGTTATCTCCTTTCAGATATTCTTTCAATCCCTTTTTTGTCTTGTGGCGTCTTGTTCTAATGTGACACCTTGTGAGCACCATCTGTCTGTGATCATGATGCAGGACAAATTAGATACGAACTAGAATAAAAGAAGGGGATGGGAATGAGAAGATGAGATGAGACTAGACGAAAGAGGTGATAAGATAGACGAAGGAGATGAGAGATGGATTGAAGGGGGTAGGCTGGAGAGACTGAGGGATTGAAAAAAGCAAGAACACAAGGAAGAAGAAGACTCAGAGGGAGAGTTCACAAACTCGCAATAATATTCAATAATCCAAAGCTGAAAAACTTAGTTACATAAAAGCCTTTATATAGGCAAAATTATTACCAAACACTAAAAACCCTAAAAATACTAAAATAACAGAGCTAAACATTAACAAAAATAATGATAGACTTAATTTAAAAAACCTAATTTACATCAATTCATAATTTCATTTATCTTTGCCCATTCTCCAAAAGTAGAGGCGGAATATGTGCGGCTCATCCATGAAAATCATAGCTCGTTCTCCATCAGATCAGTGACACCCTAATACTTTTGCATGCTTCAATTAATTTGGTCAGTCATATTTCTTAAAACCTAGCATAGTTATTTGTCAGCTTCCATGGTATCCTTTGTCTTTGTAATTAGAGGGTATACCCTCCGTATTGGCCTTGTACTTCATTGATATATGTGGAAAAATACGAGTTAGTCTCCTTGATTAGTGGTAGGTTAGCACTAGAATTGTGTAAATATTTGTTTCCTAGAGTTTAGGGATTTGTGTAAATATTTGTTTCTTAGAGTTTAGGGATTTGATTGATAGAGAATCAGGGATTCCTGATTATAAGGTTTTCAAAATTTAGTTAGTTGCTGATTTTTCTCTCTGTAATTTCTTATATATAGTCCAACAGAGGCTCTTGTAAAAATTAACAGATTCAATATAATTGAATTCATTTCACCACATGGTATCAGAGCCGTAAGGCTTGGATTCCTGGAAAAAAATTTCAGCGGTTTTTTTTTTTGTTCAGGCCTTCATAGCCAATTTTCTCTGTGACTTGCCTTCATCGCAGTCATTCTCTGGCAATTTCTTTTGCCAATTTTCGCATAACCCTTTTGTCCGGCCTTCATAGTCAATTGTTGAAGAATGTCAGAAACTATTGTTCAACCTTCCCAATCACCCGAGGAAGAGCAGGTTCAGCGCTCCACAAGTGAACTGCAGAATATTCAACCGGCGTACCAACTTAATGGAAGAAACGACTTGAAATGGTCTCAATTGGTTTGAACTTTTCTGAAAGGAAAAGGGAAATTAAGTCACTTGCTGGGAACGGGACCAAAGAAAGGTGTTGCAAGTTTTGAAGCGTGGGACGAGGACGACTCAATGGTCATGTCCTGGTTGTGGAATTCCATGACACCCGAAATCAGCGATACATGCATGTTCCTACCAACTGCGAAGGCCATCTGGGACGTTCTCAACCAGACTTACTCCAAGGTTCGTGATGCAGCGCAAGTATACGAGATCGAGACAAAGACAATGTCTACAAAACAGGGGAACAAGTCCGTGACTGAGTATGCCAATTTTCTGCAAAACCAGTGGCAAGAACTGGATTACTACTAGGTGATTGATTTGAAGTGCAGCGAATGCGCTGTAATTATCAAAAATTTCATTAAAAAAGATTAAGTTTATGATTTTCTCGCTGGCCTAAACTCTGAATTTGATCAAGTCAGAATTCAAATTTTGGGCAAGGAGGAGGTACCATCTCTTAATGAGGTGATTTCATTGATTCGGGCTGAAGAGAGTCGGAGAGGAATCATGCTTGAACCTCATTCGATTGACAGCTCAACACTCGTAGTCTCTGGTGACAACAAGCGGGGTTTCACTCTAGAACAACCGCAAAATGCTGAACATGGAAAGGTGGAATTATCAAAGGGGGCAAACCGAGATAATCTTTGGTGTACATACAATAAAAATTTGCAACATACCAGGGATCGTTGTTGGAAATTACACGGGAAACTACCCACATCCAGCCGAGAATGGGGAAATGAGGACAGCAGCAACGACAACAAGGACAAACCAATATGACCTCACAGGTGGGTCAGGACCAGGCAAAAGAATATGGAGGATTCGACGGTGAAGAAATAGAGAAGTTAAGAAACCTGCTGGGAACCCTTGAGAAACCATCTTTTGGTGTTTGTTCTTTAGCCCTCTTAGGTGAGTCTTTATTCTCCCTTGGATTAAATGTTTCTGATAAATTGTATGTGGATTTGTGGATCATAGACTCGAGAGCCACAGACCACATGACACATGCCTCAAACCAGTTCAGCACTTATACCCCATGTCCTAGTAATAGGAAAATCACTGTTGCTGATGGAACCACAACCACAGTTGCTGGTGTAGGAGATATCCATATCACCCCTAGTCTTATTCTTAAAAATGTTCTACATGTTCCTAAACTGTCCGCCAACCTAGTGTCCATTCAAAAGCTTACTAGAGACTTAAATTGTCATGTTACGTTTTATCCCTCTTACTATGAATTTCAGGACCAGGATTCGGGGAGGAGGATTGGATGTGCTAAGGAAAAGGAAGGACTTTACTACCTTGAGACACCGCGCCTTCCGAGTATGATTAGAACAAATTTATCCTCTCCGTTTCTCTCTTCTTCCAATAAAGATGTCATATGGTTGCATCATTTTCGTCTCGGACATCCTTCTTTTGCAATTCTAAAAATCATGTTTCCTTCTTTGTTTAAGGGATTAAATATTGGGACATTTCATTGTGATATTTTTGAGTATGCAAAACACACTCGTGTAGCTTTTCCCATTAGCAATAAAAGAAGTTCCTCCCCTTTCTAGTTAATTCACAGTGATATATGGGGACCCTCCACAGTCCCAAATGTTTCTGGTTCACGGTGGTTTGTGTCCTTTATCAATGATTGCACTAGAGTCTCTTAGGTATTTTTACTCAAAAACAAATCAGATGTGAGTAATATCTTTCTCAATTTCCATACAATGATCCGCAATCAGTTTGGTACCAAATTAAAGAGGTTTAGGTCTGATAATGCGAGGGATTACTTCAATCAAGTCTTGTCACCCTTCTTTTAAAAGGAAGGAATTATTCATGAGTCATCTTGCATTAATACTTCACACCAAAACGGAGTAGCCGAAAGGAAAAACGGTCATCTCCTAAACACTACTAAAGCACTCTTGTTTCATCAAAATGTACCAAAACACTATTGGGGGGAAGCAGTACTTACATTTGCCTACATCATAAACAGACTTCCTTCATGGGTTTTAGGGTTAAGAAGTCCAATGGAAGCCCTTTCTAAATTCTACCCCGGCCTTAGTGCCACAAAGCACTTCATTTGTTCATGTCCATAGCAACAACAGAGGCAAATTAGATCCTAGAGCCATTAAGTGTGTGTTTGTAAGATACTCGTCCACACAAAAAGGTTACAAATATTTTCATCCTCCTACCAGGAAACTTTATATCTCAGCTGATGTCACATTTGCGGCAGGGAAACCGTATTTTATTGAACCTTATCTTCAGGGAGAGTTGTCTATCATGGAAGATAAGGATTTTTTCCAGCTCGCCTTACCGTCTTCGCCTTGTTCACCATCTCTCTTACTTGTATCAAATACTCAATCCAACTCAGTACCTGAGCCTGAATCTCTTGTTTTGTCACCTATGTCTCCTGTTGTGTCTCCTGTGAAGGATAATATGACTTTTGATCATGTACGGTGTGGGAAAGGAAAGGTGTACTCGAGGAAGCAAGGTCTAGCTCCTGATCCGGTGTAGGCCTAAACCTCCAACCTAACTCCTGAGAATGAGGTAACGGTATATGAACCTACTCCACTTATAGAACACCAGCTCCCTAGACCTCAAATAACTGACCAAGATTTGCCCATAGCCGCGAGGAAATGAACTCGAGAGTGTACCAAACGACCATTATACCCTCTATCTCATTATGTATCCTTAAAGAAATTCTCACCAGCCCATAGGAGTTTTCTCACGAGTTTAAATGAAATCTTTATTCCAAACACTTTATCTGAGGTATTATCCAATGAAGAATGGAGGAAAGTAATGAGAGTTGGGATGGACGCATTGGAAAAAAATGGGACGTGGGAGGTGGTTGATCTACCAAAAGAAAAGAAGGCAGTAGGGTGTAAGTGGGTTTTTACCTTGAAATATAAGGCTGATGGATTATTAGAGCGCTACAAAGCAAGGCTAGCTGCTAAGGGGTACACTCAGACATATGGAGTTGATTACCAAGAGACCTTCGCTCCAGTTGCAAAAATGAACACTGTGAGGATCTTGTTGTCATTAGCAGCCAATTTTAATTGGGAATTACAGCAGTACGATGTGAAGAATGCCTTTCTACATGGTGACCTGGAAGAAGAAATCTATATGAGCATCCCGCCAGAATTTAGAGGAGTTGAAGTGAACAAGGTATGCAAGTTAAGGAAGGCCTTATACGGTTTAAAACAATCGCCCCGTGCCTGGTTTGGGAGATTTACTAAGGTGATGTTAGCTACAGGATACAAGTAGAGTCAAAGAGATCACACTCTTTTCATCAAACACTCAGTTTCAGGGAAAGTCACGGCCTTAATAGTCTATGTGAATGACATAATTATGACTGGAAATGATAAGAAGGAGAAGCAAGCCTTGAAACAATGTTTGATTAAAGAATTCGAGATAAAAGATTTGGGGCGATTGAAGTATTTTCTAGGGATAGAAGTGGCTCATTCTAGACAAGGTATCTTCATCTCGCAGCAAAAGTATGTCACCGATCTTCTTAAGGAAATAGGAATGCTCGCAAGAAAACCTGCTGTAGCACCTATAGAGCCGAACCATAGACTTGGAGAGGCTATTGGAGATCAAGCAGTAGATAGAGAGATGTACCAGAGATTAGTTGGAAAACTCATTTATCTTGCCCACACCCGGTCGGACATAGCATATTCTGTTAGCGTCATCAGCCAATTCATGCATGACCCCAAGGAGATTCATCTTCAAGCTGCCTACTGTGTGCTTCATTACTTGAAAGCTAATCCTGGGAAGGGATAATGTTCAAGAGAAAATTTGAGCTTGTCCTTGAAGCCTACACAGATGCAGATTACGTAGGGTCCCCTATGGATCGGAGGTCTAGTTCAGGTTATTGTACATTCCTTGGAAGCAATTTGGTAACATGGCGAAGCAAGAAGCAAAATGTTGTAGCCCGGTCAAGTGCAAAAGCCGAGTTTAGAGCAATGGCACAAGGTGTCTGTGAGTTGTTATGGCTGAAGATTATACTGGAAGACTTGAAGATTAAATGGAGTGGGCCAATGAGACTCTATTGTGACAATAAATCAGCAATCAACATTACACATAATCCAGTGCAACACGACCGAACTAAGCACATCGAGATAGACAGGCATTTTATCAAGGAAAAACTAGAAAGCGGATTAATTTGCACACCATACGTTCCCAAGGGAGGTTAAATGGCAGATGTTCTTACAAAGGGGCTCAACCGTGTTATCTTCCAAGAAATTATTTCCAAGCTGGGAATGGTTGACACCTATTCACCAGCTTGAGGGGGAGTGTGGAAAAATACGAGTTAGTCTCCTTGATTACTGGTAGGTTAGCACTAGAATTGTGTAAATATTTGTTTCCTAGAGTTTAGGGATTTGATTGATAGAGAATCAGAGATTCCTGATTATAAGGTTTTCAAATTATAGTTAGTTGCTGATTTTTCTCTCTGTAATTTCTTATATATAGCCCAACAGAGGCTCTTGTAAAAATTAACAGATTCAATATAATTGAATTCATTTCACCACAATATATCTTTATAAAAATCATCTCATTTAGGGGAAAAATATATATATGATAGCTTAATGCGCATTAACTGCCTCCTCCCAGGCCCTCATGAAAGTTGAAGATATGCTCTGTAATAGGTCCTTGCCATGCTTCAATGAACAGAAATGAAATCCAGCAAGACATCTCACTGTGGAGTGGGGATTCTGGAAAACATATTTCCACAATTTTAGGTGGTAAATTGGAAAAAATAGATTGAAGGAGTGTGAAATGGATCCACCTTTAAAATAATTGCATAGGAGAGAAGTAAATCTCATAGGTGGCAAAACTTGTTTAGCATGATGCGTTTTTTGTGTGTAAATTAAGCAGTGGTAATGTGGTCTGTGTTACCTGGACTCGCCTGTTCAGGCCGAAGTGTCCGTGTCGACACGACACGACACGACACGGACACGGACACGGACACTGGATCTGAGTCGGATCCTTCATGGCGTCTACCGGACACGGCTGATAGATGACGAAAACTCAAACAAAGATGTTTGGGTTGGTAGTTGTGAAGGATTGCGAACTTTCTTCATGCTTTATTTGTTAAATAGGTTGCCATTAATGAGATCAGAAAACTTACTGGTACAACAATGGCGGTTTGCTTCAAAAGTAGCGTCTTTCGAAGGTTAGAGAAGACTGAAGTGTACGCGCTTTGTTTGCACAAAATTTTGTAACGGCCGAGCGTGTTTTCACATTCTTACTAATGCTTTTAATACCCTTCAACGGTGATGATCATGCCACTTGTCAATTTGGATGTAAAAATATGGGAGAGTTTGGTCTTTTAACAAGGATTATGTTTTACAGCTGTAAAACACTATCTAAGCTATGAACAATTTACAACTGTACTGGGACAGCTGTATTATTTTATTTAAGTAATATCTATCGGTCAATCTCGAGCAAATTTTTTGACCTGACAATTTGACTTTATAAATAAGGTAATATTATTATAATAGTTGTATTACCTTTTTTTAATTATTTTTTACAGTAAATCCATTCATTAAAAAAAAGAAACTGTACAAGGAAAGGCCTAGCCCAAAGGCAGCCCAGAAAAACAAAACTAAAACAGGCCCACACAGGAGCACATTGCAGTTGCATCCACAACTGTAAGAACAGGTACAAGTGCAACAACAGAGCAAAAAAAGAAAATCTGCATCACAAAAAAATAGAGCTTGGAAGGCTCCACACTGCTATCTTTACATTTATATATTTATTCAATTTTTCATTAAAAAACTGAGGTCTAACATAAAAAAGGGTACATTTTTTAATTTTCCTACAAGTGTCCAAGTGTCCGTGTCCAACTTTTGGACACTTTTATTCCATGTCCCCGTGTCCTATAATTTGATAGATGGATGGATCCGACCTCTGGACACGCACCCGTGTCCGACACCCGCACCCGAGTTCAGGTAACATAGAATGTGGTATATGGGTTAGCAGTTATTGTTTCACCCAGATAAATGTACCCCTTGATGTGTTTTTCATCACCATCAAGAGTTCTAATGTTCTATCCTAACTGATATCTTTTGTTTTTAAATGTTATTTCATTTATCAAGAACCTGGGTAGAATCTTTTTGTTATATTCATGGGCAAGTGTGCATGCAATCTATGTGAGAGATTACTATTATTACTATTTTTTTTAAAGAAAAAAAAAACATGTATGGATGAGAGTGTAGAGATGCTACATTTTATTTATTTATTCTTTTTAACAGCTGTTACCAGTGCTGCTAACTTGATGGGTTGCAGTGCCAAGGACCTCATGTTAAGTTTATCTTCCCGTAGAATCCAAGCTGGGAGGGATAGTGTTGCGAAAAGGTTAACTTTGCAGCAGGTGTGTGAAGAAATTATATATTATCTCCCTCCCTCTCTCTCTCAAAAACACAGGAAAATACATGTTGTATGTTTATGTCTGTGCCTGCATATGTACATAAATACCAACATAAATATGCATATTCATATATGCATATCTTCTTCGGTCCACATACATTTAAATTGAAAGTCCATTGTTTCTTCCTATATTTAGGGAATTGACGCAAGAGATGCTTTGGCAAAATTCATCTATGAGAGCTTGTTCAACTGGCTTGTTGAACAAATCAATAAATCACTTGAAATTGGAAGACAACGTACATGGAGATCTATATGTATCTTAGATATCTATGGGTTTGAGTCATTTCAGGTATGTGGTTTGTATTTATCTGTTTATTGATGTTAATTACAATACAATGTCTCACATAATGAGCCCTTCTACTCATTTCCAGAAGAATAGCTTTGAACAATTTTGTATAAACTATGCAAATGAGAGGCTGCAGCAACATTTCAATCGGCATCTATTTAAACTTGAGCAGGAGGTGAGCATCTAAGATCTATAGTGATGCTTATTCGGAAAGCCATGCAACAAGGATTTCTTTCAATTGTTTTTCTTTTTGTCCCCAAAATTATCTGTAAGAGAAAATAACTTGAGTTTTTTTATATGGTGAACAACAGAATCAATTTGAATGCATTATACTTAATGAGAACTGCAGTCGTGGCACATTTATGCAGATTCCATAACTCTGCAGTATCTTTCCTGCTCACACATTCAATATACAAAGAATGAAGCAAAAGGCCTGTGTTCAGGCCTAGCATCTTAATTTTCTATGCTGTTGACTCTCCTTACCAGATGCATGATTCCTTGTCCATAGCTTTCTTGAAGCTCCCCAGAGTTCTTTTAGCAAACTGAACATAAAAATATTTTTGTCACAACTTGTTTATTTTGTTTCAGGACTATGAATTGGATGGAATTGACTGGAAAAAAGTAGATTTTGTAGACAACCAAGAGTGTTTGAATCTCTTTGAGAAGGTAATTCTATTTTTGAGCCCTTATATTTCATTCAGTATGCATTCAGGAGTTTCTTAAGAGTCCCCACCATCATTTCGTTATGCATGGGACTCTATCTTATATATGTTATGATGCTATAAATGTGGGTCTTCTTAACAGTTTGGGTGAACCTTCCTTGTATCCATGAAGCTATGTTCTCTTGAAGGATTTAAATATTAAAGTACACCCTCTCTAATAGCTTAAGCTTTTGGGGTAGATGTTTGTTAACATGTTTTTGTTTTAATGTTGATTCTCGTTAAAGAAGATTTAAAGAAGAAAAACATTGAAAATTTGGGTTCCCAGTTGACACGCAATGATGGACTAAGTTCTCATTTTTCTAGAGACTATCTTGTTATATAAAACCAAATTATATCTTTTCTATTTAAAAGCGCTTTTTATTGTGTGGTGGAGTGCGCATTTATGATTTTCTGCAATGCATCTTGCAGAAACCTATAGGGCTAATATCTTTATTGGATGAGGAATCAAATTTCCCCAAGGCAACTGATTTGACGTTTGCCAATAAGCTGAAGCAGCACCTAAGCTCTAACCCTTGCTTCAAAGGAGAACGAGGTGGAGCTTTCAGAATTCATCACTATGCTGGAGAGGTAAGTTGTAAAACAAATCAGCCTGAAATTGAAATAATAAAAAATTTACAGCTCAATTTGGTGTCTATTTTGACCATACTAGACGTTGTGCTCTTTTTGGAATAATAAAGAGAAAGTAGAGCCAACAATTATTAAACATTTTATATTGATATTTACTTAATAATGCCTGCGTGTCGAGAGAGACAGAGGGAGTAACTTGTGCACAAATCTAATGAAGCTCTTAAACATTGTTCCATCCACAGGTGCCTAGATCCTTTCCTCTGGCACTATCTCCATTTCCAGTCATGTCATTAGATTGTTTAATTTACTTTGGTTACTACGACCCGTGATTCTATGGAAATAGTTATTAGGCCAGTCATATTTAATGGGACAAGATATCGGGCTTTAAGAACATGCTCGCAAAATGAGCATGGGTGAAATGTAGATGTTGAGATAGATGAGTGATAAGAGAATTAAAGTAGAAATGAATACATCCGCTAGATGGTTGGAATAGGTAGTGAAGACAAACAAAGAGACGATAGATTAAGAGGGGTTTCATATGTGCAAGGAAGACAATTGTACTAGTAACGAATTGTGATGTGGTGAAAGTTGAGGCTAATGCTAAGGGAAGAGGAACATAGTTCGAGATTGTGAAGTAAGATATGATGGCATGTGGTTTGTTGAAGTTGATGGCCTTGTTTTATTGAAGTTAACAGCCTTCTAGTAATGACAAAACATGATTCATGTAGTTGAAGCCAACTAGTTGGGCCAAGGGTTTTTATTGAGTGGAGTTGCAATGGCCAATTGGTTAAGCTCATATACATTCTAATGGAGCAGAAATTTTGGAATGAATCAGAATTTGGATTTGATATAAAAAAAATATCTCCTTTTTCTTCTTTTTGTTCTTGTAGTTCTTGCTCTAGAATTTTGTTTAAATTAAATATTATTTATTTTGTTCCATTCACTGAACTCTCAAGAGCATTTCAATTATATACTAGCCATGTTTTAGTCATTGACTATTTTAAAAGGGTCAGCACTATTTAAAATTTTGGAATTTCGAACTGGTGCCCAAGTTGACTTATATATTGTTCTTGTAGTTGATGATGATGTAGATTTGTTGTGGATTAACTATTTCAATTGGTATGTAAATGCTTAGAAAATGTCTGATGAATGGACTGGGCAAAACACTCGGATAATTACTTTTAAGGATAAAGATGATATCTAGAGCTACAACACCTACGATGATATTAACATAATGAGTGCATGAGGAAAGTAACTTTTAGCTTCCATTACTTCATTTCCTAGGTTTTGAAAAAAAAAAATTTTCTCTTGATTTTTAAGAAGTATGTTTGAGCTTCTAATCAAAAATGACTTTTGCTTTTTGTCTCTCTAAATAAGAAACTCTTTAATGTTATCCAAACAATTCTAACAAGATCACCACAAACTCCTTGTGATCAAGGCCTTGCCCTTTATAGGTTTAGAGAGGTTGAGCTGTTGAGGCTTATGTAGGTGTCATCAAGGCTAGGAATTACACCTGTCGGATAATTTTTCCTAAGATTAAACATAGAGGTCTATTTATAGTGTATAAATAAGACAATTGCATAAAACAAGGCACTCATTCAATGATGCAGGCAGAACTGAAATAGACTACTCATGTTCATCTTTCACCAACTCATCAAATAACATATTAGTCAAAAGTTAAATAACTAAACAAACACCAAAAAAGAAAAAAAGTAAAAAAGAAATGCCAAAGTGGTCGTAATTAAGAATAATTATTACAAGTGGGTGGTGGAAGAAGAAATTGTGGTGTGAGACTGTGAGAAGCGTGCATTGTGCAATGGTTGTGAGTGGTGGTGAGGAGTGATGTGAGGTGGTGCATGGTTGTGAGAGTAGATTTCTGCTGGATGACGTGGTGTGGTAAGGGTGGTGGTGTGGTGGTGGGGGTTGAGGATGTGGCGGTGATGAGGGTGAACAGTGAAGGTGAAGGGATGTGCACTAACTAGGAAAAAAATAAAAAAAAAAGGGATGTGCACTGCATGAGTGGGTAGCGGTGAGGGAGAACAACGGTGGTGATGAGTGTTGAGAGGATGTGCACTGTTTAGGTGGGGAAGGTGAGGCTGTAAAAGAGTTTTAGCGTTTTTCATGAGAAAGTGAGAAATAACACATTGCCGGACAGGTACTCTTGGGATGAACTACTCTGATAGTCATGCACCAAGTTGTAGATGGCTTCTGAGTTTGCAACCAAGTACCGATCCAGGCATTGCATGAGGTGCACAAATTCGAGGTCGTGGGACTTAGCTCGTGTGATACTTCGAAGAGGTTTTATTTATGCCATATTTGGAGAGGACTGCTGGATAATGCTGTGGAGAATGCTACATGTTGACATGTAGAAGTGACATGTTGATTAATTTGGATATGCTGTGGCCAATTGAAAGGTCCATGAAGGTGTCGCAGTTAAATTTGCCATCTAGGCAACTCGTGTAATCAGAGTTAGGTACCCACAGCAGAAAATCCTTATGCTTCAAAAACTAGACTTATGCTATCTGAATTTTACTAGGTTATTGCAAAAATGAGAACTGTTAAGTCACATATTTATAATAAGTAATCCAGTTCGGACATGCACTGGTTGTGCATTTTATCTCGTGTGCGTGTGTGTGCGTTTATTCTGACACCTGAAGTTTTTTAGGTTCTATATGACACAAATGGCTTCTTGGAGAAGAACAGAGATCCACTGCACTCTGATAACATCCAACTCCTCTCATTATGCAGTTGCCCACTCCCTCAATTGTTTGTCTCCAATATGCTTAACCAATCACAGAAGCAAAGTGTTGGCACAAAGTTCAAGGTAAAGATACTTCTGTATTTTCCTTTTGAACTGGATATATTTGCAGCTATAATATTCTGGCACTGGAAACTATATTTTGATTATGGCATGTAAAAGGATTTTGGAACCAACTCTGTTCTGAAAATTATGTGGTATTTTAATATGCAGTGTATAAAACGCATTGCATTCTTTACTTGTTTGATGCAGTTACTTTAAACATTCTCCCCTGTGCACAGCTTTTTTTGTCAAAAATTTACCATCTACGCTTTCTATTTCATGATGAAGTAAACCAATAAAACATGTTTTGGTGCAATCTGGGATCTTCCTACTACAGAAATTCTTTCTGCACAATTTTATTGGAGTTGTATGCTTGTAGGGTCAATTGTTCAAATTGATGCAGCAGTTGGAGAACTCTACACCACACTTCATCCGATGTATAAAACCAAATAGTAAGCGGCTTCCTGGCATGTATGAAAAGGGTCTTGTCCTAGAGCAGCTTAGGTATTGTGGAGTTTTGGAGGTTGTTAGGATTTCGAGATCCGGATATCCTACTCGAATGACACATCAAAAATTTGCAAGAAGGTAGATTATCCTCCAACTATTTTTAGCAGATTTCTGATTTTGCAATAATTCATGGTTTTTCTCATGAATTCTGAAGAGTTCTTCAAATATGTTTGCATAAATTATAGGTATGGTTTCCTGCTTTCGGAGAACGATGCATGTCAAGATCCATTGAGTATATCAGTTACCATTCTGCAGCAATTGGATGTTTTGCCTGATATGTACCAAGTTGGTTATACAAAACTATATTTTCGAACAGGACAGGTGAGTTTATATATGTGCCGGTGGTCCTTAATCAATATGATATATCCTCTCTAGCGTAGGTAGTGAGATGCTTTCATTGTAGACATGACTGCATTAAATCTATCCTTAGCGGATTTCTAAAATACCAGCTTTGAACATTGTGTAGATATTCTGATATTCAATGTCCTTCCCGCAGTTTAGTAGTGTTTTCTATATACTGCTGGAAAACAATAGGAAAAAAGCATGTTATGTCATGGGGTTCATGCATTTTCATTAGTATTCTGGCAACTTTATAATTAATAGCCACATCAGTGAGACCTTTTCCATTTATGATAATGATGTGTGAGTTTTGGATCATTTTTGAAAATTCAAAAAGAAATTTCAAGGAAAGGAAATAAAGAAAAAGAAATCTAGCTCAAATATGGACTAAGTAGTTTAACGTAATTCCAATATGTATCTAAAGATAATTTAACTACTTGAATGTAAAACTTGACAACTTGGACAATCTCCAAGTTAACATGCTGAATTTTAAAGCAGTAAAATATAGTTCTTGTGTCTGAAACAAAAGTTCCCTGCAAAACTGACTTTTCTTGATGTTCTGTTGTTAATAGATTGGTGTATTAGAGGATATAAGAAAACGAGTTTTGGAAGGCACACTTCAGGTGCAGAAATGCTTTCGTGGTCATCGGGCTCGTTGTTACTTCCATGAACTCAAAAGAGGAGTACTAACACTGCAATCATGTAAGAAAAACACATCATTCAATTTTAGGTGTTTCATATAGAAGATATAGTCTGCCCGATTTATAGCGTGGTTAGTTTCATGTCTGCTTTGTTTGTTGTGGTTATTTTTTGGAAATTATTATAGCATATTCCGGTTTTTATTGTACCATAGAAACTGAATCTTATTGTCAGATGTTTTGTGTTAATTTTCTAAAAATTGGTTTGAAGAACTCTACTCTTAAATTATTTTACGCATGAAAACTCTCCTACTTAGTGTTCAACATAAAACCAATAAAGGTAAGTCTCTGACCATCAATAGCAGTAAGCTCTATGGCTTTGTCTCCAACACCAACAAAGATTTTTTGTTATTCCTTTTCCAGTCCTTCTATGAACAATTATAGTTCAGTCTACGTTGATTTTGTTTGTTTTCTATATTCCTCGGGTTCGGCTCAACGCTGTAATTCATCCTACATCTCATTCCATTTTTTATTTTTGTTTATTTTGTTTCTAAGTTTTGCTATTACCTGTTTGATGTAATGGCGCACCCCCGGCGACTGTTTACCTGAAAATAAAAGAAAACATACTAATTTATTGTTACGACAAATGCAACGAACCCAAGAACAAATCAAGAAACATGATAGAAAATAAACATGCCACACATAAAGAACACAAAGATTTAGTGTGGTTCGGAAAAGCCTACATTCACGGTGAAGATCCGGCAAAAGAATTAACTATGGGTCCGTTTGGTTAGATAGAAATTTATGATAGAAAGTGAAAGTGAAAGAAAGTGAAGTGAAAGAAACGAAAATCAAGTTTCTACCATGCATTTGGTTAGCATGAAAGTTTTTCAAGAAAGTTATGAGAAAATATGATTTTGTTAATTTGGGTAGGATGAAAGTGAAAAGAAAGTGATTCTACTTACCAAAACTACCCTTATATCAGTTAAAATTTAATTGTGCAATGGATGATAAATAAAAAAAATATAATAAAATAAGGCAATTACAAGTTGGATTATACATAATTAGAGAGCAGAGGCTCAACTAAATATTAATATTTTTTTCTTTTATTTTTGAACCTCCACATTATATTTTATTTTTTTCATTATTAATCACTATTTAGTATTTACGTCTATCCAGGGTTAAGAGTTGGTGGATTATATTAAAAAAGAAACACCTATCCTATTTTATTGAAAGAAAAGAAAAAAAATTGTTTCATAAAAATACTCGTTGACAATTGACAAAGTCACAAAAGAGAGAGTTACCCAAAAACAAATACAAACAAGTTAGTTGGATAAAATAGGAAAGTCAAATAAAAGGGACTCCTTTCAAGGGAAAATAATATTTTCGCGTGTTTTGTTCTAGAAAATTTTTGGGGAAAAATAGGCAGATGCTGGAAACCAAGTTTTCTCTTTCTTTTCTTTTTCCTTATATCCAAACTCCAAAAAAGTTTAAATTTTTTCTCTTTCCTTTCTTTTCTAGTTAATTCCACCTAACCAAACGAAACCTCGCGAAAGTCTGGAGATTACAAGTTTCAGCCCCCAAATCCTAGCTCTCGCTCTCACTCTTTTTTATGTGATTTTCAGTCTCTCGATCATCCACTCCAAACCCTAAACGCCCTTATTTGTTGGGCTACAAGAGAGTACTAAATAGGATCCACCACCCGCAAGCAGAAAATGGGTCAAAATTTTCCACCAGATAGTAAATTGGTTGCAACACGACCCGGCACCAAATTCGGGCCACGACATCACATTTATTATAAAAAAATAATACGAAGAAATTAGGTTGTAAAACATCTTATCGATGAATCAAATATATTTATTCCATTGTGGTATAACTGCTAGTTCGTCAGGTTGTTATTGAATTTTTGTCTTGAGTTGTGCATGTGCTTAAAAGTTCTTAAATTATTTCTTGCAGTTATCCGTGGTGAAAACGCTAGAAGGGACTATGATGCTTTGATAAAGTTGAGACAACAGGTTGCACGTAAAACCCTTGAGCAGACGAGGGCAATTATACACCTACAATCTGGTAAGATTTATGTAATTTTGGACTTCTGTGTCCACTTAACTGCATCAAATGTTCTTTACATTTTCTTTCTGCAGTGGCCCGTGGGTGGTTGGCTCGTAGGCAATTTAGTTACCTTTTGAAATTGAAGAAGTTAAATCAGAATAGCATAAAAGAGAAGCCAGGAAGGAAGATTTCAGAAGTGAAGGTACTGTCTTTATGGTCAATGACCAGTACTTCCTCAACCATAACTGAGTTGCTGCATCTGTTCTGGTCTCCTATGCTGATCTTTTTCTGTAGTAATCTTATGTTCTTCTGTGACGTCCTTTTGGTTATATCATTTATTTATTTATTTTATTATTATTATTTTTGTCTCTCATTCCCACGAGACCCGTAAGTTTTGGGTTGGAAAATAAGATCTATAATATTTTTAAAATGAAAAAGACCAATACCTGGAGTCAGACTTAGATATTTAGTTTCTGTCCAAGATTGAATTAGGATGAAAGAAAAGTTGCCTTTGGTTTGGAAGGCTAAAATGCATGCCCCGGTATTAGGAATTGCTTATTGGAGTCCAAATATATTATTCAAAGATCTCCTCCGTAATCAGTAAAATTGTCTTTTAAGCTTCCAGTAACTTAGCATTTTTGTCTTTTGGATTGAATGGGAGCGATGAGGGAATTTTTATGAACTTTTTGTTCAAAATTTGCAAATGTTTAATGGAATTGATTGAAATGAAGGTTTTTATTTATTATTATTTTTCTCGGTGTTTTTGGTAGGAAGAGTGTGTCTCTGTGTTTTTTTTGGGGGTTGGGGTTATGATTGTTATTAGGAGTCATGCATGTTTTGGTTTTAATTTCCCCTTGGAAGAAGTAGTAGTAATAATTATTTATGTTACTGATGGGTGCATTGGACCATTATCCTCTAAGGATCTGATACGTTAGAGTGCAAGCGTTTTATTTTGACCTAGAGGAGGGTGGGCATGTGAATAGGTCTTATGGATATTATTTTTCACCTAACTAACTTTTTGAATTACCGTTGATCATTGTTTTAATATTCAGTTAATTAGTTTGATTACGTGTCAAAATTGCAATCATATAGACGTATAAAACAATAAAGTAAACTAAAGTAGAGACACATTATTTGTTACATGGAAAACCCTAAATAGGAAAAAATCATGGGACCTAGTCTAGGCAAATCAAAATCTAGTATATGAGAAAGAGATTATAGACTAAGTTAACAGACACTAACCCAAGGACCACCTAGTCCCTCCCAACTCAGACTTGGCAAGATTTCCCCAGATCCTCTGGCTGTTGATCCATTGAAAAACTCGCTCCTCATCCTATCTGCTTCTCCATGAATTTATTGGAATGTCTACGATGTGCGACAAAAGGCCTTAGCTTACCCAAAAGAAAAAAAAGAAGGCATATGTGTTGAAAACCTTCCAGTGTGTAGATCACCAATTTGGTCTTTTCTTAAGCTTGCCATGGCATTATTTAAGACTATGCTTTGATAGCCGCTTGAGTTCATAGGTGTTGTCATCTTTATTAATGTGTTGCATTTGAAAAACTGCACCTAAGCATATGCTTTCCAAGTATTAGAAGTTCGAGAACATGATTGTAGATGGGAAATATGGTACTATTTTGTTTTTAATCACTAAGGATGTTGAGTATTTTTATTATTTAGAAAATGTGACTCTTCTTGGTTGAGCAGGATTTATCGCAAGAGCATGTTGGAATTCAGCCTTCAGTTTTGGAAGAGCTTCTAAAACGGGTTACAAAAGCTGAAGTGACCATAGGGCAAAAGGAAAAGGAAAATGCAGCATTGAGGGAGCAACTACAGCAATTTGAGGCAAGATGGTGCGTATATGAGGCTAAAATGAAGTCGATGGAGAAGACGTGGCAAGAACAGATGACATCTTTGCAAGTGAGTTTGTGTGTTCATTTATATATATGCTTAAAAAGAATATATATTTGTACAAATCTATGAAGCACATATACATCTAAAAGGGGGATGAACCCTTATCATGTCCGTATCGAATACCGGCACTCATTTGATTCTCGCAGAACATTTTATTTTTATTTTATTTTTAATTCTAACACGTATCTAATACCTCTTTGATATTTTAGCTATGTATTTGATACTTCTCAAATACTTCAGGATACATATGTAACAAATCTTGAAAATTAAAATATAACTTTTCCAAATATAATATCATTGTATAACTGTTGAGAAAAGTTTAAAATCTCTTCAAAAACGAAGTATTGAGATACGTATCATGACTGATTCTCAGTTTGTTTTGTTATACACAGACACACATGTATGCATTGATATTAGTTTTTATATATAGTTACATGAATATGATATATCTTGTCATGTCTTTTTCGTATCTATATTTTATTTTTTAAGAATATTTTATGTTGTCGCATCTGTATCGTATCATGTTTATGTCCCATACGGGCCATACCCATGTCCCTGCTTCATTAAGTACATATATATTATACTCCCATCTCAATCATATTAATGGTTCATTTTTTATTTTCCAACTTTTGAGGGGGACAAGCATTTAATCTAGGAAACACGGATACAGATAGGGGACACGAGTACGGGACAGGAGGGACACGGCGATATGGCAAATCTGTAAAAAAAAAATAAAATAAGAAAAAGAAGACTGATTCGACTGGAATACGTCAAAAATAATATTATTATGTATAAAAATAATATTTTTTGCTCATTTTATCCACATTATCATGAATGAACTTACTAATTTGGAGCTTAGAGCTAGATGTTTTTTTGTTAGTTTTATAAAATTTTACATTAATTTTTTTTAATTAATCCATAATATATTTTAAAATTGTATTGGAATCACATTATTCTAAATTACAAAACTACTAAAGTGCCCCAAACATGTCCCAGCCGTGTTCATGTTGTGTCCCCGTCGTGTCCCAGTCGTCTTCATGCTGTGTCCAACCAGGAAAAACATATTCAAATTCTAGGACACTTCTAACCATGTGGGACACGTGTCCGGGCTGAGTCCCATGCGAGGCATAAGGTGCAAGGCGATAACTGAATTTGCATTTGAACTAAGTTTTGAGAATAAGTAATTCCTTTCAAGATTGTTGATTTTCATACTAATATATTATTTAGTTCCACCACAATTAGGCTAAATGATTTGTTGAAGGAATCCTAAAAGTTGATTCATTAGGATAATATATTATTTAGTTTGACCACAATTAGGCTAGCTGATTGGTTAAAGGAATGGTATTCATCAAGGTAATATATTATTTAGTTTGACCACAATTAGGGTAGTTATTTGGTTGAAGGAATGGTATTCACCAAGGTAATACATTATTTAGTTCGACCACAATTAGGGTAGTTGATTGGTTGAAAGAATGATATTCATTAAACTAATATATTATTTAGTTGGACCACAATTAGGCTAGTTGATCGGTTGAAGGGATGGCATTAATATTATTTAGTTGGACCACAATTAGGCTAGTTGATCTGTTGAAAGAATTGTATTGTGTAAGTAATATATTATTTAATTCCACCACAATTAGGCTAGTTAATTGGTTGAAGGAATGGTATTTATTTAATAGTATATTATTTAATTCGACCACAATTAGGCAAGTTGATTGGTTGAAGGAATGGTAATATATATATATATATATATATATATATATATATATATATAATTTAGTTCGATTAGGCTAGTTGTTTGTTGAAGGAATGGTATTCTAATATGTTATTTAGTTATACCACAATTACGCTAGTTGATTGGTTGAAGGAATGAGATTCATTAACATAATATGGTATTTAGTTCGACCACAATTAGGCTAGTTGATTGGTTGAAGGAATGGTATTCATTAACATAATATATTATTTACTTCGACCACAATTAGACTAGTTGATTGGTGGGGAATGATATTAATATTATTTAGTTGTACCACAATTAGGCTAGTTTATGTGCGGCAATGTGCGGAAAGAATCATATTCGACAAGGTAATATAGTGTTTAGTTCAACCACAATCAGGCGAGCTCATTTGTTGAAGGAATGACATTCATTTACTTCCATTACAATTAGGCACTAAAGGCACGCGCCTTGTGCTTGGCTCCCAGGTGCGAAAGGTGCACCTCGTTCAACTCGCCTCGCCGCGTATGCCTGTCTAATACTTTCATGACACTCCTAGGAGAATTGGCCGTGTTTCCTAGCATTGAATGCATCCACCCTGAGTGGGGAAGTGTTTATTAAAAAAAATGACTCCAAAATAAACTAAAGATGACGACAAGGGTAATTTTGCAAAAATTATAAAAATCTCGTTTATTGACTTTTCAAAGTGGACAACTATTATGGAACATAGAGGAAAGGAAAGATGGACGATTAAATTGCCGGGGGGATATTGATAATTGGATCAATTAAATGGAAACGTATCCTGTGTCATGAGACACCTGAAAACTCTTTTGGGTAAATCTTAAATGAACTGAGGTCTGTTCTAGGACCTACCAGTGATGCCATCAAGGTAAGGCCAGTTACATTGTCATATTGATAAATGATCTTTAATTATCAAACAAGCTCTCAATCCTTTCAGGTGTCCATCTTTAGCTAAATCTTCATGGACACAGTAAATGATTCTGTCCTAGGACCTACCAGTGGTGATGTCAAGGTGAGGTCAGTTACATTGTCATATTTGGTAGATGACCTTTATTCATTAAACGAACTTTCAATCCTTTCTTGTTTGATAATATGGTTATGATCTGGTTCTATTGCTTACCAGACCGATTCTTGATGCTAACATGGAATAAGTTCATTTGTTACTAGACTTCTCCTTTGCTGGCATTCCATATATTTATTGGTTAATGGACACCGATTAAGGGGGATATATTGAGGAGGAGCAACCTAGATCTATAATGTGTTGCTTTGGTATCATTCTCGTATGAAGATCGTTATAAGTAATGAATTGTGTCTCAAATGCTTATTGTGATTAAGTTATTACTTCAGAGTGTTTTTTTTTTTTTTTTTTTCCAAGTGCTGACTGTTGAGAAGTTTTTGTTGGTGTTCCATTTGAGCCATAGGAAATGTTATTCTTTGCCCAACAATTAACCTAGGTCCTAAATTTTTTCTTTTTGTTCTCTTTTACTCTTCAAATTCCTTTGATTCCCTTAAAAAAAAAATGTTACATTCCCCTTCTTCAATCAAATCCTAAATTTTTCCCCTTCAAAGTTCCCTCATCTTTCTTTCTTTTTCTTCTTCATCATCTTCTTCTTTTTTCTTTTTTTCTTTTTTCCTTTTCTTAAAATTCTTCTTTTTGCACTTATGTTATGTATGATGTATGTTTTGAAACCTTTTTTTTCTTTTTCTTTTTTTTTTTTTTCACTTCTTATTTAAATTTATTACTATGATTTTATGAACTCAATGTGTGTATTTTTATATTTTTCAATTTTTCTTTATTGTAATTTTTTGCGAATAATGACACTATTTGAATCTTGATTAATGTACCGTTACTGCACTTCTCTTTTTCGGATTACTGTCTTGTTGCATGGTTAGTCATTATGTTAGTTGAAAAAAAAAAAAATTATAATGTTCAATATGCCTCTCCCCAAATAGATTCTTGGTTGCACTGTTTTTATTGAGACTATCAAGCATCGTTACATCGATTGGGGCTAATTAAATCAATGTAAAATAGAGGGAAGCTGCCTTATGTGGCATAGATAAGCTATCATGCATCGGTTTCAATATACAAATATATTTGTGAAGAATTTATCTTTCTTATACTATTCCTTGATTAACATATTATTTTGCAATCCTTTTTTTTTTTTTTTTTTTTTTTTTTTTTTTTTTTTTTTTTTTACCTTTTGATTTGAACAATCTATATTTGTCATGTTAATTGATTTTTCTTTTTTTTTCTTTTTTTTTTTTCCCGTCCCTGATTGCTAAACCACGTTAAAGATTGTATTCTGACATGCAACTTTTTAAAGTTATGGTTTTGTATGTGATTTTCTAGTATATTATGTGATTGACGTATCCCCTTACGATTGAAAGGGGAGTTCTATAGAACAACTATTACACCAGTGATACTTTATGGTACTGATTGTTGGGCAGCTAGGAAACAACATTTGCATAAAGTGAGTGTGGTAGAAATGCGATTGTTGGGATGGATCGTAAGACTAGAAAGGAAGAATTAGAAATGATCACATTCGGGAGAGGAGTAGCACTAATTGGAGATAAAATGAGAGAAAATCAGTTAAGATGGTTTGGACATGTACAAAGATGACTCTTAAGTGTGCCGGTTAGGAAAGTGACAGTCTACATTAAAGGTAATAGTAGGGCAAGAGGAAGAGGAAGACCAAAGTTAACCTGGGTAGAGTTAGTAAAGAAAGATATGATAATATGTGAATTGACTGAGACTATGGTCTTAAATAGAGTGGAATGGAAACATGGGATTCATGTAGCCGACCCCAAGTAATTGGAAAAAGGCTTGGTTGTTGTTGTTGTTTGCTGTTGTGGTCATGTATGTGATTTGTGTATTTTTCCGTCACTCTGCAGCTGTATGTGGGATAAGTGAACTGAAAGGCTTACGGTGACAGACAGGCAGTCATGGAGTGGACATTGTCCCATAATTGTTTTTCAGGTCCAATTTTACTAACTTGACTTGTGGGCTATACACACAGTCCTAGAGCATTGGTTTATTGGTTTATGGGCTATACATATGGTCAGTCCCTAGAGCATTGGTTTATTATTACTATACTTGTAACAAAAGAATACCAAATAATTTTTTTAAAAATTATTCTATAGAATGGTCATTTGACCAGCCATATTGTATGGAGTAGAGTATTGGGTGTTGAAAAAAAAAAAACAAGAACAATGCATCTATGTTGCGGAAATGAAGATGCTATGTTAGATGATAGGAATAACTAGAAAAAATAAGATTAATAATGAACGTGTGAGGAAAGGATCATTGTTAATAATGAACGTGTGAGGAGAACAATAGGTATAGCGCCTATAAATGATAAAATTAGAGGAAGTAGACTTAGGGGGTATGGTTGCATTCATCATAGACACGATGATGCGCCAATTAGAAGATTGGTCAGTGGACCTTATGGCTTGCATATACCATGAGGAGCTGAACCCAGCAAAAGAAGTGAGCTTTATGATGTTGTTGTGGTTCTGACAGCACACCATGAGAGTCCCAAATAAAGAACCACATGAGAGAATAAATTAGAGCTAAGGTTTCTTTTGTACTTTATACATGTTGAAGGATTAAATATGTAAAGTTACACCCTCTTTAACAGCTTAAGCTTTAGGAGTAAATGGTTGTTAACATGGTATCAGAGCCAAAGGTCTCGAGTTCAAACCTCACCGCCACCCTGATATTTGAAAATTGAAACACGAGTTGGACCAAAAAGAAGGCCACATGTGAGGGAGCGTATTGAAGGATTAATTATGTAAAGTTACACCCTCTCTAACAGCTTAAGCTTTTGGAGTAGATGGTTGTTAACAAAAATACATATTCATGGTATCTGAATGAAAAAAAAAAAAAACATTTTATTAAAATATGATAACAAATAGCCGTCTGATTGAAGTCCAACAAGATTAAGAATTTCCAATTAGCTATTTGAAGGACAATATAAATAGGGTAAATTGCAAAAATAAACCCTCGAACTATCACGATTTTTAAAAGTAAAATAAAATAAAATAAAAACTGAACTATTAACTTAGTTAAAAACATCCTGAACTTTTCAAATGATTTGCAATGTTCCCCCTGCCATTATATTTCTGTTAAAAATGTAATGGAAGTTTGTCATGTGCATTGCACATGACTAATATTTTGGCTTTAATGACCATCAATGCCCCTCACCTAATTGTAGTAATGCTCCAATATTATAAAGGTAAATGCAAAAAATCCCCATAAACTATTAACTTTTTGCAAATACCCTCTAACATTGCAAACAAAGCCCTTAAACTATCAAAAATTTGCAAATTAGTCCATTGCTGTTACCTGTGACGTTAAATTATTGATTTACCCATTAATTAAACTAAATCATTTTTGCTTAGTTTTCTTTGCAATTGAGTCACCCATTAATTTCATATACGTATTTTCATTTGTACACACAGATATATGTATGTATATATATTGCAAATTTTCTACATAGTTTAGGGTTTTTTTTTTTTTTAAACCAAATTAATGGTTCAAGGTTTTTTTTTTTTTTTTTTGGTTGCAAAATCAAGATAGTTCAAGGGAGTTTGTTGCATTTTGACAGGTTATTTATTTATTTATTTCATTCTTTGATGACACGTAGGTAATTTTACAGTGGCATTAATGGCGTGGATGCTATTTGCAAATGTTGGATGGACCAAGGGTTTTTTGTAGTTCAGGGTTTTCTTTTTGTTGTAAAACCGTGATGGTTCAGTGTGATTGTGTGCGTGTTTTTCTTGTTTCCCATATAAATATGTGTTAGTTCCAGTAATTCTATTCAGTAAAAATGCCAATCCAATCTGTGGAAAGCAAAAATGGTTTGTCAATTGGTTACTCGTGTCAACTTTATGTATGAGGGATTCATACTCTAGATAATCAAATTCCTGACATGCAAAAGGATAACTAGTATAACGTTAATGCAGATGAGCTTGGATGCAGTCAAGAAGAGTCTTTCTCCCGACAAGACTGCATGTCAACCTGGAAGGCTAGATGGTTCCACATTGCCCCGTTGCTGTAATTGTGAGGATACTATGCCCTTAGGAGCTCAAACTCCTGGTGGAAGCACACCCATTAAATCCCCCAACACTGGTAAAAACATTGGAGCAGGACAGGAGATTAATGGTGGTTTGAATGAAGTCAGTCATCTGGTAAAAGAGTTTGAGCAGCGGGAGCAGAATTTTGATGATGAGGCCAAAGCCATTGTTGAGGTCAGATCAGGGCAGTCATGTTCTATGAATCCTTGTGAAGAACTTCGAAAACTGAAATTCAGGTTTGAGGTGTGGAAGAGAGAATTCAAAATTCAGTTACGGGATACGAAATCAAGACTTCACAAGCTTGGGTATTCAGAAGGAGAAAAATGTCACCGGAAATGGTGGGGAAAGAGGAGCAAGAGCAGAAGAGTGACATAATATTGTATTTTGGATTTTCCAGCTTCCATATCGGGGATTGGACAAAGACAAGGAGTGGTTTTCTGAAAAGAAACACTGCCAAAGCTATGCGTCTTGCCATTTCTAGAAGCAGTCTTGTTTCTAATGTCAGTTCTCACGCATGCCACTGTAGCACGAGGTTTGTGGAGAAGGGAGAGTGATATCTACCAATTTTTGTTACTTGGTGGAAGGATTAACAAGCTTGTCCACAGCCAAATGGGGATTTATTGAAATGCCTTCGTCTTCTCCCCGAAGGGGTTGAGTTAGGTGTAGATATGTTATTGTTTTTATGTAATATGTATATGTAGTAATCTGTAGTTGATACCTAGAAAATGGAAGAGAAATGTTCAAAATGCCTCTCCTTGTGTATGATAGGATACGCTTTGTAATATATAATTTATAGGCGTTCTGTATAATTTATATTCTTTGGCAAAAATTAGCAATTGTTGTGTACTTTACCTTATAATTTGGAACTTCAAGGACAAAGCTCCCCACACTCTTCTAGCAAACAAAACCTGTGATTATGCAATTGACAAACTGTTTGTTCCGTACAGAGAATTTCTTCAGTTTCAGTGACAAGAAAGTTACAATATATAAATACTCGAATCACTTTATGCAAATAGGATGACAGTTTCATTGAATCTGAAGTTCATCATGGAACGGAATCAATATATTCCTCTGGTTTATGATCTGGCGGCGTGTGATCATCCATGTAACTAGTCCTTTAAACCGAGTATCTATATATTCCGCTGTAGATATTGGCACAACTCTATATTTTCTGGGCTATTATCATCTAAAGGTAAGAACTAGTAAATCTTATCTGAAATTACTGTGTTTTGTTCTGATTCAGGTGTCTTAATATAATTGAACGTTCAGTGAAAAAAGCTACAAAATAAAAGGGAAGAGAGCCACAAAGCAACATTCCAAGCTAAAGCATCTACACATAATCCAGGACTATTCCACTTTCCCTAAACTAGGTGAAGGAAAGACCTTTCACCCCTCCCCATTTCCTCCCCCATCTTGTTTCCTTCCATTCTTCATCCCTACCAAAGTTCCAAACAGGCTCTAAGAGTGATACCCTTTTGAAGATTTCCTGTTCAATCAAACAAATCCCTCCAAAAAAATTTAGCTCTAAAAAACGAAAGGCAAACATAAAGAAACAAAGAAATAAAAGCAAATTTTAACGTTTGATGCTTAAAACTCACGAGCATGCTAGATAAATGGATCTATATGTTGGTGAAAGAAGTACAAAAATAACAATGTTGCAAACAGCAAACTATGAGATAACAAGAGAGAGAATGAATATAAATTACAATTGCAGCTACTACCTAGCGAAAATTTCCTATACTGCAGTAGGCATCTAATAAAAACTCAGTATATATCTCCCCAATCACCAACCTTGCTTGATGACTCAGAAAATCTCATAGCCATTACCAAGCACAGCGTCTCTTGATCACCAACCTTGCTTGATGCACTCACAAAAACTTACAGCCATTACCAAGCAGAGTTCAGTACAATAAAGAGGTATTTTGTTGTGCAGAAACCCAAATTTATGTCCCATTATCAATGTACATTACATTGTTGCAACATAGGATGAGCATAATCAACATATTTATTCCACAGCGGTTTGTATTTCTCCATCCCAATCTTCAACCATGGCTTTGAGTTTCCATTAAAGTGCAGTACAGCCCCATTCTCTAGCAATTGAGGCTCAACATTTGTGTAGCCCAATCCCAAAACATGCCACCTGGGATTGAGAGGCTCAGTCATCCCATAGAAAGTCAGCAGTCCTGGTGGCAATGTTCCAAGCTTCCACAATGTTCGGTCGATGTTTTTCTCCTGCCAGTAGTGATAGATGCCAGTCACATTCCTTTTTTTCCACTCAACCAAATCAAATATATTCATCCCAAATGCCCATCCACATGCATCTGGATCAAAATGTGCACGTATTAGCGGGTGAGAGTAATTCAAATATTTGTGGTATCTGTGGAAAGTCTCCATGCATGTCTCAACAGCTCCAATTACATTTCCATTCAAATCAATAGAGAAGAGAGGTGACAGATCTTTCTGTACCACCACATCATCGTCAAGAAAAACTATCTTCTCCAGTGCAGGGAAAACTTCAGGAATGTAAAACCTAAGATGGTTAAGCATAGAAAGGTATTTTGGGTTACGGTATTTGATTGGTGTCTTGCCATTATCATTATTTCCAGAGAAGTAATAGTTTTGAGTGTCCGAATCTTGGAGCTGCTTTAGAACAGGGACATAAGAAGCATTCAACCAAGTAAAGTCTTCAAACTTCTGAACCTCAACTGTTACACCGTGGAAACTGTTCATGGAAAACCAGGCCTTCATCGGAGCATAGTTGATTTCATCAGTCACAAGGTGGAAAACAAACAGATCTGGATTTTTGGAATTTGACGCTGTTGAGTTAACCACAACTGAAGTTGCAAGGATGTTGTCAGAAAAAATGCAGAAATGATAGAGATTATTGTCTTCAAGTTTCTCAGCAATCTGATTTCCTCCTGTGAGCTTCTTCTGGAAATTTAAATTCCTGAACCATTCACCTGTCAACCTGACACCGAGACAGTATAGGCCTTTTGGAACTTCTTCAGCAGCTATTTGTCCATACTTTGAGCTCTTCTCACTCAACGACTTGGCTTGTTCTTCGAGAGACTGGATTTTGACTTTCAGTCTCATAATCATGGTTGCAATTTCGTAATGTAGTTGCTGGGCTTGATATAGCAACAACGCCATACGGCGGATTGCTGTTTCTGACTCTGCTACTGTCAATGGGTTTTTCATTGTTGCTGCATTTGATAGAAGGACCTGTGAATTGCGGATCTGGGCACTTAACTCCCATGCAAACTGAAGATTGTTGCTTTCTTTCGCAATTACAACAAAAGCTTTGGCAAGAGAAATTTGATCAGTGAGTTGTCTTGTAATTGAGTGAGGGCTCACCATTTCTTCAGTAATGTTAAGGCCTGCCATATATTTGGTGCGCCACTTGTATCTCTGCACAGAGAGTATAAATAGTTTAGTGTTACATGCATATAGGGATTAAGTAGGCAAAGAAGAAGACAGATGAAAGAGTCTGGGATTTTTATAAAGAGTCTACAAGAAGATTAGTTGCATGTAAAATTCTCATCCAATATATTGGATACTACCACAGAGATATGACCCAGAGAGAGAGAGAATTTCACCATATCCTGTCCCGTACTCGGGTGGCTTTAACAAATAGTCAGGTCAATACCCAATGAATATGACTATGAAGAATTTTGCGAGGTTCTAATACGATAACAATTCATGTCTCTGAATACAGTTCACCCTCTTCTAGCTTCAAAATAGATTTTAGTAGTAAGATTATGCCGTTTCTCTATGTGATTTTGGAGTAAACTATTCTACCAAGTCCTTAATTTTAGTTAAATAGTTGCAACAAAAAGCCATTTCCGTGACATGTGATTTTGGTGTAAATTATTCTACCAAGTCCTAATTTTTTGTTAAATAGTTGTAATAAAAAGTTTGCGCATGTGGTTTAGTTGTACATGGAAAATGATTGTACTAAAATGTAGTAGACACATGTACTTGGGAAGATGCATCTGTAAAACCTACAAATATCCATGCAACCTACGCAGCTAGTTAAGGGAAAAGGAATGTTCATGAATTTGGGCAAAAAAAACGGATTTCATTTTCGCGCCATTGTAAGTAGAATTCATTCAAATCAAACAGGAACAAATATAAAGTGTTCATTCCCCCTCCACTTCTGGCCCAGAAGCCTATTGCTTAAAGCTAGCCAGATATTTCAGCGAGGTGGTATAAGAGCAACCCTTAACAAATTGTTATCAGAACAAATCCAAACAAAACCAACAATGCTGTATCAGAGGCAGGGCACCATGGAGGACTCAACCTATCAAAGCCACATTGATCCTGAAAATCTTCATAAATCAGAGCAATGATAACCTTAGAGGGCTTGGCCTGTTAGAGGTGAAAATGTATTTTTTGGTGAAAAGTTTTATTCTTTTAATCACAAAGGGCTAGGTATTACACTATGTGTTAAAGCAATTGACTAGTGAATATTGGCAGAGAAGAGTCAAGGCAAAGATTGATATGTCCAAAAGAGATGGCGAAAGAAACTAATGAGTGCAAATCTCCAAGTCGTGCTTGGAAAATGCTTGAGGCGATCACCTCTGATCGTAGAGGTAAGTGAAAATTCGGAGGAAGATGAGTTTACAAAGTAAGACTATGAAGTTCTTGACAACAACTCACTAAACTTGGAGGTAACAAGTGAAAATTTGGGGGATATTTTAGATTGCCAGTGCTCCAGTGTAACTAAAATTAAATAGATAAAAAAGGGAAGCATTTGATTAAATCTATTTTAATGAGGTTCTCTTCTTTGTTGTTCCTGTAAATTCCAATTCTAGGAGTGCTGGAGGGTAATACATATATCCCCTCCAGCGTTATTTCTGTATTTGAAACATAGTTTTTGGGTGAAAGAAATACGGAGTAAAAAAGAATTAACCCCAAAATGAGTAAATATCATAGAAGAAAATGGCATCTAATCATGTCCTGAAGGTGATTCTTAAATCATAATGTATACATCCAAATTCTAACATCTATAACATGTTTTGTGTTACAATATGCAATAAATATACCATTATACACCATTTAGTAAGCTGAAATTCGATACCGACTGGATCAATTATAAGTTATATAAATCATGGACACACATTGAGTTAATTGAGCGATGATTTAGAGTTATAACATAAAAAGTAGTACATTTTACAAACTAGTACACTACACATGTACAAACATAAACATATACTATATGTAGATGTAAAAATTACGTTAATGCATATATAATATATCAAAACCTGAACCATTGCTGGTGTTGATGTTGATCTTCTCTCTTGGCGAACAAGAACTAAAAATAGCAAAATCACGATGGCACATAGTATCAAACATAGCACCTTCGAATACCTCCTCCTCACTGGCCTTCGAAAGTCAACCCCTCTTCGTCTCATGGACTTGTTCTCGGAATCGAATGATATTGAACCAAACAAGTACGCATGTAAAACATGTACTCTATGTGGGGATGAGAAACTAGGGTTTTCGAAATTGGCTATTCGAAATATAAGTATGTGTGTGTGTGTGTATATATATATATAGTGTTTGAAGAAGAGAGATGAAAATATGGAAGTAGCAGAGAGATGGAAACTGTCACAAGAGAAACGATTTTACAGGTAACTACTCGTTGGCCTCTAGACTTGTCGGTGGGAATTGGAACTTAAATCGAAAATATGGTATAATTACAAGGATGTTCCATCTTTTTTCAAAAATTACTTTGCAATTGTTGCAAAAAAACCCCTAACATTACTGTATCATCCACCGACATGACTCCAACTTAATGTGAAATTAGTATATTTGAATTGTTTTGAATCACGTAATCTATAATAATCTATCAAAATAAATAGGTTATCTTTGGATTTGAAAATTCAATTTATTTAATTAAATGTTGAGATGTTTTAATTAAAATATCATATTAATACAAATATGCATGAGGAGTATAATGAGAATTTTGTTTAATGTACCTGAGCAAAACTCTTAATTCATATTTTAGTTTTAAGTCTTAGATCACATGTTTGCTCCATGCATTTTTCCATCTGATTTTTAGTTCCCTTACAAATGCTTGATATTTATATTTCACTTATTAAGAATAAACATGTCATTACAAAAGTCTGAAATCTTGTAAGCTAGGTGTTATTACAATGTTATATGACCCAATTTATTAGAGTTCTTTTTTAACAAGGACAAGAGAAAATATAAGCACAGAACTTAGAGGACACATCCCTATCAAAGCTTCTCCAACCACAAAAGATCAAACATGATCAAACAAATCAGGACCGATAGACCATTTGCTCACTTCACGAGCTACAGGATTACAATATTTTGGGGACTCAATTTAACGATAGATTTTTCCTTGTTGAAGAAGAACCTTAATACCACGAATAACAATGATTAAAACTTCATATGAGGTACACAAAAACATAGTTGTTTGACAATAGTCACAAGAAATGAATAGCAACTCGGAGTAAACAAGTTGAATTTATGTAAAGAGTTTTTCACACGTAATAAATAATAGGATTAATTTTACTGACACCTCCTCAGATTTAGTCAAATATCACCTTCAAATATGTTTCAAAAATAATTATCATTCACATTACAAATTTTTGTTCCGTTTTTCACTCACGCTCCAACTGTTAGTTGAACAATTCTGACACCATATAAAATGATATAAATACCCTTTGACTTTGTCAAAATAACTATACACGTGTGTGTATATATATTAGAGAGCACTTTTGGCCGATTTATACACGTGTGTGTATATATATTAGAGAGCACTTTTGACCAAGTCAAAGGGTATTTAGGGGTAAAATTGTCTTTTAAATATTTTTAACGAAAACTGTGACAGAAAAATGAAAATGGATCTAAGTAATAGTTATTTTCGAAAGATATTTGAGGGTGATATTTGACCAAACTTGAGAGTGTGTGAGTTAAATTAACCCTAAATGATAAGGTACTCTTCTTGTTCACATATATACCTAAGTATCTTTATTTTAACTTGAGAAATTTTGAAATATGAAGTTATCAATTTTGCCCTTCTAAACAAATCTAGATTCTTGGCAAAAGAGTAGGAGGTAAATGTTAATTTTTACTATATTTTTTAAAGGGATTTTTACATATAAATGGGGTTAGGGTCCCATATTTACACATTGATAGAGTCAGAGTCTTATATTTTCACAAAAATGAGTTTGACCTAAATGATGACTTGGCACATGAAGTTTTACTGTTTAAAATTTTTGTTGTCTAAAATGCACTTCTCTCTATTCCAATGCATTTACCTTATTACCCTTGTTATTTCCTCATCTAATTTAAGCCATTGGAGCCCTAATCATTCAGAATCCTTATTCGTGCGCCTTCTCTGGCTGTTTGGGCTTTCCGGGAAAACAACCATTGACGGCGAGCTAGAGCACCGAAGTTCTCAATCTTCAATCTGGTGGACAACAGCAAGATAGAGGAAGGTCCAGTAATGGAGAATGGAACTTGAAACAGCACAATCCTTCAACAATTCCGTTTTAAGGGTCGAAGAGATGGTAAATTGGGTTTCTCTGTTCTGTTTTCTGCCATGTGTAATGAGATTAGGGAACACAAGATTTGTGCATGATTTTGTGTATTTGGTGTTTGTTTCTTGTTTCAGATTCAATTTTTGTTATTAAATGTGAATGAAAGTGCGTTGGTCTCTATTGATCATAGTTGATTTTTGGAGTTTTTGAGTGTTAGGGTTTTTGGTTGCATACCTTATGAATCCTGCCTCCTTTTTTATTTTTTATTTTTATTTGGTGCCATTAGTTTCATTTATTTTTCTCTCCATTATTTACTTTTCTTTTCATATATTTGAGCACCAAAAGTACAACCATTATCACTTTCTTGACTATGAATGCTATAGGATTGACACATGTTTATAAAACTGGCATGTTCTTAAATGTATTTATCTATTTGGATGTGAAAAATTACATGTGTTACCCAAGTATAGACTCTAGAGGGGGGTGAATAGAGTCTTTGGCAAACAATGGCTAATTTTCGGATTTGCAAATTCTACTAAACCCTTCTAATAATTATGCAATTATCAAGATATAAACACGAACAATTAATAGCATAGATGTAAAGGAGATAAGGGAAGAGAGATTGCAAACATTCACACGGCGATTTTAGTGAGGTTCGGAAACTCTTACTCCTCTGCTCAAGACCCCTCTTTAGACTTCCCAATCCACTATGGCACCTCCTTACGAGTGGAGAGCAAATCTTTACATAAAGCAACACCTTGCTTCACCTTGCTAAGAGACAACCTCTCTTAGTCTTCTTTTGGGTCACACCAACTCTTACAAATTGAAGCTAGCTTGCTTCTTCTTTCTTGGGCCACACCAGCCCTTATAAATTGAAGATCAAATTTGTTGCATACAAGTATATCTCTCAAAGATTGATATAAAGCTCACAACTTTCAGCTCACTCTAGAGTATATATATGAATAGATTGAAGCTCAACACTCTATGAATGATATGGGATGAGAGAGTATGATATGAATGAAGAATAAAAGCTCTTTGGATGCTAGAAGATGTCTTTCAAGTGTAGCAATTCTTAATCCCGAAGTCCCCAACTCTATTTATAGAGTTCTGATGCAGCTATTCAAAAATATAGCTGTTGTGCACAGAGTTCAAGGCAAAATAGCCGTTCAGATTCAGATCTGGGCAAGGTTCGGTCGACCGAAATGAAACACCCTTGTGTTTCGGTCATCTGAAATAGTTTTAAGCTTGGTCATCATCCTCTCAGTACTCTTGGTTCGGTAGACCGAAGTAAAACCCTTTTCTGTTTCGGTAGACCGAAATGGTTCAGGTTGGCCATGATTCCTTATTTTGGTAGACCGAAATATAATGGTTCTGAATTTCGGTAGACCGAAATAGACCTGCTGCCTCATGAATTGTTCTAAGTTAACAGATTAGACAGTGCTCTACAGGACATCTGCACAGACCTTATTTCTATTGAAAACATTTAACCTATATGTCCATTTACTTTAAGTTTATGTCTTTACTTTAATTTATATGTCCATTTACTTTAAGTTTACAATGTAAATAAGAAAGTACCCCCCATTTGGATTCAATAAAAAATACTAGAAAATTGAAATCCAACTAAATCAAAATGTAGAAATTCAGTTTTAGTACAAATTTGGATTTCTGACAGTTTTGGTAAAATTGAATCTTTAAGTAGACCAATGTAGACTTGGTCAAAAATTCTGATAAAATCAGTTTAGGCTAGTTTAAGTATAAAGAGTTATTACCGGGAAAAATTATTTTGAAATAATCATTATTTCAAAAATCCATTTTTCACACTTAGCCAAAAACACAGTTTTTCATGACGTGCATTCTGGGGTCCTAATGTCCGTTACCAACTCATGGTAATGAAGGCTTCTCAAGCCTTATATGATTGATGTGCATGGTCTTAGCATTTCTAGCACAAATGATGAGTTCTTTCAAAGCTTATGCAAGCTTGAACCAACTCATTTTTTAGCAAAGACTCCATATGTCAATTGTATATGAATAAAGTGCAAAGTCTATTGCCAATGGATATAGGAGCATATGAATGATGATATTATATGCATGGTCCTATAGAGATGAGTTTCAAATGGATTCATAAATACTTTGACATTGAATCATAAACACTCACCATCCTATCTACCCCTTTTCTTCAAGCTTTATCCATGATCGTGTAGGCTTTTAGGTAGACTTGCTTTTTTCCTTCCTTTGAGTTGCTTTCTTGCTCGTTGTAGTCCAAGCTATATTTGGATGAACTTTGCATTTGGTTCCTTGCAACTTCATATTACTTTGTCTCCTTTGCTTTCCATAGATGTGAACTTGAGTAATGGAATACTTGGAATGATCTTTCGTGCTTCATTGATGTTATCATTTGAATGTGAATAATCTATATGACACTCAATGTAAACATTAATCCTTAAACATCATTAATGGTTTGTTATCATCAAAACCTCTATATTGTCCTTGGATGGAGTCCTTAAGGTCAACAACATGTATATTGTACAGACTTTTTTTTTTTGCATACTTATTTTTCGAAAAAAATAAAAACAAAAAATACATGTATATATGGAGTATCCTAGTATGGTTATCCCAAAGTCTTAATAGAATAAGATGGGGTTTCTGTAATGATTGAGTGGCTAACTTTAGGTGTCTGGAAAATTACATCTCCTGTAAAAATACATGTTTTTCTCTTATATATGTGTGTGCGTGAGATTATAAGCCAACACATCAAATGGGCAATAGGCCCGCTGGTACAAGCCCCTCCTTCCCAAAGGGGGAGGTCAGGGTTTGAGCCTTAATGAAGGCATGGGTGTGTGTGTGATTGCTTAACATTCCAAAAGAATAAAGAATAAGATAAATCCCAACACCTTAGATGAGATAGATCATTTGACCACAACTAGGTATTTGGATTAAACTAAAAAAAATGTGAACTGGAAAGCTGCAATTTTTATAGGTTGTAACAGTTTACCTGGTCGTTTTGAATTAATGTTAGCCCTTTTCTTCCATTTTTTTTTTTTTTTTTTTTGATTGTCAAATATTGTGAATTTTTCTTGCAATTATTGTGAACACTTATTTACTGTAAATGAGCTCACTTTGTTACTGATGCACATTTCAATTGAAGCCTCATGTGATATGT